GTGGGAGCACCCGTAGGCGGAAGAGGGCTATTGGTAGGAGTTGAACCCAATCTAGGTGTAGTTCTAAGGTGAGTTTGGTGAGAACCTCCTTTAAAGTACGGTTGGAGCGTTCCACCTTTCCTGATGAGGGGGGATGGTAAGGGATATGGAAATGCCATGGGATATTAAGGGCCTTGATAATTGTTTGTGTCACCTGGGAGGTGAACTCTGGGCCATTATCTGATTGGAAGGAGGTAGGCATTCCAAACCTAGGGATGATGTGGGTTACAATGATGGAGGCCACAGTGGAGGCCCTCTTATTGGAGGTTGGGAAGGCCTCTACCCATCCCGAGAAAGTGTCTACCAGAACCAGAAGGTACTTGTGTGTCTTTACTCTGGGCATATTTGTAAAGTCTACCTGCCAATCCGCCCCTGGGATGTGTCCCCTGGCCTGGTGAGAAGGGAATGGGCCGGGCCTCAAAGGGGTGTGTGGGTTAGTCCTCTGACAAGTGGACATGTGGAGGTGAGGGGGTGTAAATACTGGGAATCTTCTGGGGTAAGGGGGAAGAACGAGTTTAGGAAAAGTTTGAGATTTTGAGCGCTAGTGTGGAAGATGGAGTGTCGATACGAAAGGAGGACGTGTCTAGGGAGTGACTCATGGGCCGGTTTAGGAATCTGGTCCTGTGGCTGTGCGAGAGCCAGGAGTAGCTCTCCCCTGCCGCCTATCCCTTTGGTGGGACCGGCAGTGGGCGATTCCAACCGTAGAAGGAAGGAGAGAGGCCTGGAGTAGGTTGGTAATGACAGTGGAGTTGGTGACAGAGGTCCCTCTTGTGGTTAATAATCCCCTTTCTCTCCAGATAGCTGAGTGGGAGAGGAGGATGTGGAAGACGTATTTAGAGTCAGCGTATAGAGTGAGAGAATGGTCGGCCACCAGCTCAAAAGCCCTCGTAACTGCAAACAGTTCAGCCTGCTGATTGGTGGTACTGGGAGGGAGGGGCTGTGCCTCGATGGTTTGGGTTAAGGACACTCACTATAGCATAACCTGCTGTCTGTACACCCCCCCCTCCACATATGAGCTGCCATCAGTGAACCAGGTATAGATGGAGCCCTGCAGGGGCCCTTCCTGGATGTGTGGACGGGGAGGAGGGCCTCCAGGGTCTCGACGCAGTAGTGGGTAGGCATGGCGGTAGAGGTGGGCAGGAGGGTGGCGGGATTTAAGGAGGAGCAAGCACGGAGGGTAATGGAGGAGTCATGGAGGAAGGAGACAAGAAGCGACAAGATCTGGCAAGGGGAAAGTGTTCTTAAGCACTGATAGGTCAGGAGTTCCGCCAGGTGGTGGGGGGAAACGATTGTGATTGCCCCCCGAAAGTGAGTTTTTTCTACTCCTGAACTAGAACATAGGCCGCCGACAAGGCCCGTAGGCAGGGGACCCATCCCCGGACTGTGGGGTCAAGCTTTTTAGATAAATATGCTACTGGGGCAAATGTTGGACCCTTGTCTTGACCCAGGACTCCCAGGGCTAAGCCTTTATTTTCATGGACATAGAGGGTGAATGTTTTTTGGGTATCTGGCAGGTGGAGGGCCGGGGCCTGGAGAAGTGCCTGTTGAAGGCGTCGGAAAGGGGTGTCAATGGAGATAAGTAAAGAGGGGTCCCCCTTAGTGGCATCATACAGGGGGGCCGCCAAGAGAGAATAGTTGGGGATCCAGACGCGGAAATATCCGGCCAGCCCCAAAGGAAAGAATTTCCTCCATGTTTTTGAATTATAAGCAAGACTCATTTTAGCCATCCCAAACCGAGTTTCAATGCTTGGAAATTTGGCAAAACGGTTAGGTTTGCTGGCCAGCATGACCACACGAACCCCTCCCCCAAAGTATAAAGACCCAGGTAAGAACCACCATTTGAGTCTTTTTTATTTTTTGGCGGTATAGGGTTTGAACTCAGGACCTCACACTTGTTAGGCAGGCACTGTACCACTTGAGCCACTCCGCCAGCCCTTTCTTATGTTGGGTATTTTTGAAATAAGCATTTAGAGTCTTCTTGTGGGAGATGTTTCTACCTTTCCTATTTCTCCCTACTTTGTCATGTTTTACTAAAATAAAGCTTTCATCTTGTGAGACCCCCTCAAAATGTGTTATCATAGTGGATCTCAAACTCCTGAGTTGTGGGCAGACTGGGAAGTTGAGGGACTCCCCTCTGCCTTCCCTCCTGCAGTGAGAGGACTAAGGAATGAGTCTCCCTGGTTTTGTGGATCTCTAAAGATCACATGTAGAGTTCTTAGCATAAGGCCTGGTAGCAGCACACACAAGACTGGGATGTAGGAAGTTATGAGGGATGAGGTAGCTGGATAGGCTTTTGGGTGGGTCTCATCCGACCCATTTGTGAAACAGGATTTTAAGTGATTCTGTCTCACAATTACTGGACTTCGTGCAGTCATGACTGGTGTGCCTGGCAAGGGCAGATGTGGGGCACAGGCAGGGGTGAGCTGGCAGATGGGTGGGGAGAGCAGTGTTGTTTCTTCTCAGGTGCCCTATGCCAGCACCAGTCTCCTGGGGAAACTGGCTCCTGCTTCACTGCTGGAAACACAGCGATGGGGCGGGACGGGGGGGGGGGGGGGGGGGGGGGGGGGGGGGGGGGAAGACCTGGAGCCAGACATTTGCCTCCAGGCCTCTCACTGGCTCCACCCTGCTCTTGATCCTGGAAGGCTGAGGGTGGGCTGCATCACTTTGGGCTGTTGGTAGGATCTGGATAGTGGACTCCCCACCGATTGGGGAAGGGGGGTAGGTGCAATAAGGAAAAGGGTTGGCTTCCCAGTTCCCACCTGTGGAGTAGCCTCAGGGCGGGCCCCCTCTCCAGGACCTGCTCTGGGATCTTGTTCTGTCCCTTTGTGTCTTGTGCCTCTCTTCTGGCACCAGTCCTGGGCACTGTACCAGCCATGGTGGTTTCCCTAGTTCCTGCCCAATCCTTTACAAATGACCTGTTTGTTAAACTCTTTGGAATATCCCTAAAACCATGGCATTGGCTTCCTGCTGGAACAATGCGGGTTTGCATGCTCCACCATCAGCAGTGGGGGCTCCACCATCAGAGGTGGTTTCTTAACGTGGTTGGGCAAGTCTGATCCTTCCAGGGCTTAATGTCTTAGCATTTGGAAGAGGGACATGACGGCCTACTCTCCTTTCTTGCTAAGAACCCAATTCTGTTTCAACAACATGCCCAGCAAGGCGCAGATGGTCCAAGCAAATTGAAGCAATCTCCATTCCCGTTGCCCATGACTAATCTGACAGGGAGGCCTCTGGGAAGAATTTGCACTTCTTTCTTGCTACCCTTATGTCTGCCCTGCTCTGACTGGATGAGGATGTATTGCTGGGTGCTAGAGCAGCCACGTTGTAACTGGGAAGCCCTAAGCTGGAGGGTGAAACATTCAGAGGGTGAAAAGTAGGAGAGAAGAGGCCAGGTCCATGATGATGTAATAAGAATAACAAATATCCTTATAGTTTGGGTCCCTGTAAATTAGTTTGCTACCTGGAGCTGAAACTTTTACTGATTCAGAGTGGAAGGAGGAGTAACTCCATAGAGAGAAGTCCAAGTGGTCTCTTGTGTCCAGGTAGGCTGGACACCAAACCTCAGGAGTTTCTACTAACAGTGGGCAAATGAGGGAGGTGGGTCACCAGTCCTGCGAGGCCCTGTGTGGGCCTGGAAGGAGCCTCTGGGCAGAGTCAAGCCTGTCTACAAGCTCTGGGCCACCTGGGCTCCCTGAGGCAGGTGGAGGAAGTTGTGGGAAGCAATAAGACCCTGCCCCATGGCAGCCCACTATTCCTCACTATCCTCTTCCTCACTCACTCCATTCCAGCCTTCCTGGCTTTGCAATTCTTCACGTATCCCATGTCTGATCCTCCCACAGGGCCTTTGTTCTGTTGTCTCTATATGTTCCCTAAATGTCCAGTCAAGCATTAGCTCAAGTGTCACCTAGGAAAGGCATTTCCTAGCTCTTCAACCAACACAGTAAATCCCCCAGCCCGTCTACAACTACGGTTATGGTTTTAATTCCCAGTCTAGGAGGTGAGTTCCATGAGGGGAGCCAAACACCTGATTTGTTCCTCTCTCCCCACTGGGAACTGGCAGGAATTTCCCAACAACTGCATGATTGGGCCTGATGTGTGTCACATTATGGCAGAAGGCCGTGTCCTCGTATTGAAGGGTACAGCTCTGCTAACAGGGAAACCTAGGTTCAAATCTCAGCGCAGGGACCCTGAGCAGGAAATTGGATCTTTCTGAGCCTATTTCTGGTAAGCCAACCAAACGTCATGGAAGAGTTCACAGGCCACAGCAGGTTATGTGATGGCACCATGCTTTTGGAGAGGGCCCTGCCCTTGCTGGATTCCTTTCTGTAGGACTTGGGACAATAAGGGCGTGTGTGGCTGAGAGTGACCTTTTCAGCAGACATACCATGTGGCCAGATGCCTGCTGTCTGGGGGGAGCTGGTATTAGAGACAGCGGATCATGGGATGTTGAAGCTGGACCCCATCCCCCTGCTGGGGAAGAAATCGCAGTTCCCAGCTACTGGGTGGCTTGAGCCTACTACGGGAAATGTCCAACGGATGAGCTCGTCTCCCCTCAGTTTCTCCTTTTGCAGAAGGGACAACAGCAGCCTGGACCTTTCAGGATCTAGTTTTGGCCTGGCCCAGGGGTCATGAGCCAGTGATACGGCAATGCATGTGTTGTGGACAAGATCAGGTTGTGGTGACCATGACAGCTCTATGAGAGGCATCAGTACTGGGCTGGCGACAGGCAATGCAGGAGGCTGGCCCCAATTCATTGCTAGTGTTCCCTGTTTGCAGAACCCCTTAATAGGGCCTGGCACTAAAGCAAACATGAATCCCAGGCTTGTCCACCATGTTTGCATCACTGTGTCCGCTGCCTCCCTGCATCAGCTATGTGGACAGGCCGGATAGGTACCAGGACTACTGCTCCATGCTGCCAGTTTATTTGCTTAAAACACTTGTTTCTCCAGAGCCTTTAGCCCTCAATCCCCCCTCGCCTTCCTCCGCACAGCCTGCACCAGCAGCTCCGAGTAGTGTTCTAGCAGGGCCTGCAAGTCTGGGCTGGCCAGGGGGCACAGTGTGGGCGGGGATGGGGGATCTGGGCTGGGGAGGGGCTGAGCTGGGGCTATGTCAGTCCCAACCAGCCAGTCACTGGCTTCCAGCTGGCTGTGGATCCAAAGGAAGGCGGAGGCCAGCTCAGTCTGTGCCTGCTGCTGCTCTGTGCCCAGCTGGCTGCTGGAGCGCAACTGTAAGGAATAGTAACCTTGTCAGTGGCCGCAGATCCAGGAGTGCCTCAGCCCTTCCCAGCCTTAGGCCTTACGAGCTTACCATGTGGTAAACGTCAAGGGCTTCTCGGAAAGTAGTCTGCAGCCTGTTCAAGACACTTCTCACATTGCGCAGCTCCAGGGGTGTGGGGAGCAGGACTTCATCTGGCAGCCCAGGTTCTCCCCAGTGTCCAGAGCTGCCCAGGATGGAACTGGGGGCACCTGGAGTAGAAAGGAGGGAGTAAGCAGATACTTGGGCTTTCTAATTGCTCAGAGAGAAGCCAGAGACTGGGCTGATCTCAATCGTCTCTGTCTGGAATGTTTACCCAACCCCCCTAGGTCTCTGCCAGATGTAATCCTCTCTCTGAAGCCTTTTCTCACTATCCCATTTACAACAGCAACCAGGGGCCCCTTTTCCACTGCCCAACTCTCTTCTTTTTTCTCCCCTTAGCCCACATCGCTTTGTGGTAGATAGGACACTTTCCTTAAAAGATTTTGTCTGGCCATCTCCCCCAGTTAAGATGTCAATTCTCTGCCCTCATGTTTACTACCATGTCCCAAGTGTCAGGGACCTAGAAAAAAGCCCAACACGTAAGAAGTCCTCATTTAATATTTAAGTGAATGAATGAGTAACAGTCCCTGTGGCCAGGTCAAGTGCCTAAATGAACTTAGGGGTCAGTCCCTTCTTCCAAGAATGGTACTTACCAGGGCTGGGCTCCAGGAGGGAGGCAGTGCTATCAGGGACCCCCAGCCTGGCCTCTGGAAGCTGGGGGCTGTTGGGGTGGGCAGGAGGGGTGAGGGGCTCAGGGGTGGGGAGCTTTGGGAGAAAAGCAGAACTGTGGAGCCTCAGCGTGCTCACATCCACAGGGCTAGGGGCTAACAAGCTGGCTGCTGTGACGGATGCACCAGGCCGGGTATCCCCGGGCTCTTCTGGCCACACACATGTGGTGGTTGGCTCCAGTGGGGATGGGGACAGGAGCCTATCACAGATGCTTGACAAGGTCAGTCTCAGGTTGGCTCGAGCCTCATGGTTGCCCCAGGAGGGCAAGACAGACTCTTGCCCCTCACTTCCAGAACTGGAAGTGGCCTTGGTGGTGAGCTCCTGGTTCAGAGAGGCCAGCTCCCCCATGGATGAAGGCCTATGGAGGGGCCTAGTCAGCTCAGCCATGACAGGGTCCTTACTGTCCCCGAGGGAGATCTTGGCACGGGAGCTGGCAGTGGTCTCCATGTAGGAACAGGTAGAGGGGACACAGACACTCTGAGCCAGGCCCAGATGTGAGCCAGGGGTAGATACAGATGTGGGTGTCGAAGGCTTCCTGTTTGTGGGTGGCACTGAGGAGGAAGGGACACGGGGCTGTAAAGGAAGTAGATGGCTAACTCTCACCCCCATCACAGAGCTGACAGACAGGGCTGCACCCAGGGAGGATTCCACAGGGAGGTTCTGCTGGGCACCCAGGGCTATTTATCTGGGACTGGGGAGGCACTCACTCAGTTGGCACCAGGCCTCCAGGGTGTTGAGGGGCTCCTCAGCCTTACCCCCAGAAAGCACCTGCAAGCACAGCTGAAGTGAGGACAAGACCTCTTGGCTCTCAGCCCTGCGCCCTGGGGGCGGGGACCCCAGTACTCACGTTGGTCCCGTCTGGGGAGATGTAGCCAGTACCTGCTCTCAGGGGCTCTGCTCGGCCAGTGGGCTTGACCTCTGGAGACCTCACAAGGTGCAGGGGCAGCCGAGGAGGGAAGGTGCGGGTGAACCTGGAGGTGGAAGCCAGGTGAGAAAGGGCATTCCTGCAGCCCTAAGGTGCCGCAGGGACACGGCTTTGCAGGAGTTGCAGGGATAGAAGTGGGAGTGAGAAAGACCAGCTTCTACCTGGGTGTCTTCTGGAGGCGCGAGAGAAATTGGGTGGAGATGCTTAGCCGGGGATTGAAGTAGTCCTCGGCCTCCGAGAACTTCATGTCCTCCAGGGATCCTTGGAAGAGCTCTAGGGGGCAATGCCAATGAGGGCCTCAGAATTCCCCTCCCCCCCAGCCAACCAGCCCTAAACACAGGCAGACCCACAGAGCAGTGGGTGGATCTCTAGGACCCCATCAGCAGACACACCTGCATACATGTCTCAGGAGTGAAAGAGGTAGGGAGGGGAAGAGCCATGTAGCTTAGTCCTTAGGATAAGAGTGGGCTCACCTGGCTCCAGGGAAAGCCCCACTCCAGGGATGTGCCCCACATTAGATGGGTAGCCCAGGCAGGTCCAACGCAGGGCTGGGTCCTACCTTCAGGGGTTGTGTCAGTAAGCGTCTCAAAGTGGTGGCGGAGAAACTTCTCCTGCTCAGGGGTCTGGGGTAGGGAGCTGTTGGCCAAGCCTGGCCCCTCAGGCCGGGATGTCTCTTCTGCTATAGTTGGGCATCCTGGAGAGAGGCAATGGGAGGAGAGAGGGCGGGGAGAGAGAAGCTGTCAACACCATGAGTCATGGCAGACGCTACTTGACAATGGAGAAAGTTGGACTCGCCCATCATACACCCTGTTGCCACCAGGCAGAGAAGGAATGGCCAGTTTTTCAGGTGAGGAAACTGAGTCTCAGGGCTGATGGGGGCCAGCGGTTATTATCTATTGTGGCTTCCCTTAGCCAGGCCCAAGCACTGCCCTTCCTTTGTCTGGTTTACCTGGCTCCTGGGGTATTGTCACGGAAAGCCGAGGATCTGGGTCAGGCTGTGGAGCAGGGAAATGGATGGTGGCAAAGCTGCACTCCAAATCAGCCTCTGACTCCCCTGAGTCTGAAAGGACCAGAGCCAAGGTCAGGAGCCCACTGCCGGGGCCCTTGCTGGGTGGGCCAGGGCACGTGACTCAGCTGCTGTGGGCTTCTTTTGCCCCATCTGGAGGATGGGGGTGATAATTGCACCCTTGCCCCACTTTTATGAGCTAGCAAGTTCTACATCAAGAAGATGGCAGAGCTGGGCTCTCAGCTGGTGTGTTGTTGGACTCAAAGTCATTATCATGCCCAGAAAGAGGCTATCCACAGGGTGCTTGACTGCCCCCACTTACCCTCAGGTGGGCTCTGGGCTTTCGAGTTGATGGAGACCACCCTGAGGTAGGATTCACCCTGATGTTCCCCAGGCCCTGCCTCAGCCTCCTTTTCACAGTATTCGCTGCAATGTCAACAGAGATGGGGTTATTCTGGCCAGTAATGAATCCCCACAAATCAGAACCCCAAGGGCCTGCACTGTGCTTCACTGGGGCATTGCTTCAGCCTCTGCTTCCTCTTCCAAATGTTTCCTTCCCATAGACTCCCACACCCCACCTGGGACCAAGGAAACTGAGGCTGCAGCTAAGGCTGCTGGCTGGGCTCCTGCCCGTTGGTATGTCCCCACTTGCACAGGCCACTAGAAGAGCAGAGAGCAGTTCTTCCAATCTGAGCCTATCAGAAGAAAAGAGCTGCTTCTCTCCAACTACGGCTCCCCTTTTGGCAAAGGGTACCCACCTGTCTGTTCCTGTGACTGTCACTTCTGCCTCCAGAGAGTAGATGAGCTCCTCACTGGTCTCAGACGACTCCCTCTGCAGGGGCAGGAAGGAGAGGTGCCCGCAGCCATTCTCCTGGGGACTCTCTGACTAGGGGTGAAGAGCAGAGCCACCATGAGGAAGCGTGGCCCCCAGGCCCTCACAGACCGCTAGCTGTTATACCAGCAGTGGCAGAGCAGGAATGATACAGCAGCCCTGATGCTGGATACTGAGCAGGGTCTGCTGTTTGGCCTGGGCTCTGCATGGTGGTTCTCTTTATAGGTTAAGGAATGGGTATGGCTCCAAAACCGGTAAGAAGCCCCACCCTGCCAGAGTCTCTCTACATGCTGTTCAAGAATGGCAAACCAGTCTACGGGGAGAGGTGAGAACACTGGTTCCCTCAGATGGGGGCACAAGTAGTCTTCCAGGAGGAAGAAAATGCTGTGTATTTTAACTTGTGTGTGAGTACATATGAATCGCACAGGGAGTTCACCAAGCTGTATAGTGAGATCTGTGCACATTACTGTACACGTTATTGTGTAAGAGAAGAAAATGATATATTAGAATACAAGAGAATTTTGTTTAGGAAGATAACAGAGTAGGAGCTAAAGTTCCTCGGGCCCTGTAACAGCCCAGGCCCTTTTCTTAACCGGCTGTATTCCTAGAAAAGTCCTCTGAGGCAGAGATAGTTAATGCCATTTTTTGGAACATTGAGGCCCAGACAGGCAGGACACACAGCTGTTTGTTCAAATGCCCCCGCTCTGCTCCGGGCCTCGAGCTCTTAAGTCTCAAATGACCCACTCCCAAAGGCTGCCTCTTCTGCCACAGGCACCCCTGTGCCCTAGGCCAGAGCTCATAGCCTGCCCTCCGTCACCCCGTCATCCCTGCAGCCAGGAGTGAGACGGCCAGCTCTGTTTTCAATGTGAGAGTGGCAAGGTCTGAAGTCTTGGGCAGGCAGTCACAATGCAGGGGCTGTGTGGGCAGGACATACCTCACTCAGCAGGCCCGCCAGGTTCTGTGGCTCCATTGTGTCTAAAATGGAATCCTCCAGGCGTTCAGGCTTCATGGGTGTAAAGTAGCAATTCAGGGCCCGGGCATCCAGGATGGTCTTAAGGGGCTCCTGGTCAGCCCGCTCTGCCCAGCGGCCGTGTGGCTGGTAGCTGCGCTTGGTGTGGAAGGTTGAACCATCTGTCACATCATCATCCCCTAGCTTGAAGGACAGAAGATGGTCAGGCAGCCCCTAAGTGCTTACCACCTCCAACCATGGACACTGCTTGAACCTCATACAGACTCGGCTTTAAAGACCTTCCAAAAAACAGCTTCCAGCAGTACAGCTTCAGCCCAAGCCTCTCTCTTAACGTGGCTGCGTTACATCTCTGGCAGGTGTTCAGCATGTACTCCAAAGTTAGCATGCTGAAGACGCCATTCCCGACTCTCTCAAACCCTCCCTCCTGAAGCCTCCGGACTCAGTTTACTCTCTGCAGTTGCTCAGTTCCCCAAACTGTGGGATCATCCTTAGTCTGTCCCTTATGCTCCACCATGTTTCTTCTGGAAATTTTGTTAGCTCTGCCATCCAAATACTCCAGAATATGGATAATTCTCCACAGCCCCACCATGGTCCTACCTACCACTGCCTCCTACCAAAAGTGTCATTTGGAAAGACAGCAGAGCATAGCTGTTTGAGAACACAGGCTCTGGAGCTGGCCTGTCTAGGGTCAGTCTTACATCTTTTAATACCTAGCTGTGTGGGCCCCGACAAGTCACTTAACCTCCTGGGACCTCAGTTTCCCTGCCTGTGACATGGAGATAAGAAAAGCTCCTACCTCAATGAGGATTAAATGAGAGCTTACATGTAAAAGGCTTAAACAGAGTGAGTGTGCCAGGAATATTTGCTGAATGTCATACTGTGTCATGTGCTGGTGAAGAGAAACCTGGGGCCTGTGTGAACACAGCCAGGAGCTGATATTTAGGCCCCAACCTGAGGTGTGACCCACATGAGGATTCTGCTACCGGCTTCTAACCTCCCAACACTTAGCCTGTCTCTCACTCAAGTCAATCATCATCCCTTCCATCTTATACTCTTGGTCCTTTACTTTCCCTCACATTCAACTGACTGGCTCCGCCTCTAAATTCATCTAGAATCCAGCCATTTCTTCTTCCTGCTCCAGTCCCCAGCATTTCCTTCCTTGATTTCTTACTAAGCAGCCTCCCCCCTGCTCAGCCCAGTTTGTTTCCTATGTACAACTGAAAGGATTGTCAATACCTCCCTCAGTGCCGTGGGGAAAAGCAGAGGGCAGGAAGGAGTGTCGAGGGACTTTGCCTGAGCCTAATGCCCCAATGCCCTGGCCTGTTAACTCCCTGAGCCTGTTCTACCCTTCGTTGCCTCTCTTTACCCCACCCAGTCACCTCAACCTGCCTGTTCTTCCATTAAGCACAATCTTGCCTCATGGCCTTGGCACCAGCAGACTGTTCTGCCTGGAACATTCTCCCCCAGTATCTGCACATCTCAATTACTTTGATTCTGCTCTAATCATCTAACCACTGAGGTCTTTTCTCCTTACCCTAAATTATCATCCCCCAGACTCCTCATTTTCCTTTTCAATGTAGGACGCTCTATAGGATGTTTCAGCTCCCAACATACTACATTATTCACTCAATTACTTTCACAATAAGGGCTACTGTCCTTCTCCCACACTGGCAAGTAAGCCTGTGGAGGACAAGACTTTGCCTTGCTCACTGCTAAATCTCCAACAGTCAGAACCGCTCCTGGCACAGGGCTTACGGGTTTTATGAACCAAGGGCTGCCTGAGCTGAGACTGGAAAGATGTGAGGGTTCTCCAGGGAAGAGGGCTCCCTAAAGAAAGTAGAGCATGGGGAGGGCCCCTCCTTTTTCAGTCCCTAGGCATCCCACTGTCCCGGAAGACTCACCAGCCGCTTTGCCCATAATGGCAGCTTGCCGTTGGTCAGTAGGCACCGAGGATCTACAGAGACATATGGGATCCATGAAAAGGACAAAAACCCAGAGACAAATGGGCATTTTCCAAGGAGGCAACACAGGAAGCAGGAATCCATGTATCAGAAGATATTCAACTTCACTAATTGTCAGAGAAATGCAGATTTAAGCAACAGGACACAATCTTTTATTCATAATACTCACCAAGATTAAAATATTGGGAAAAGAAAAAAGAAAAACCAGAGTGAGGGAGATCAGGTGTGGCAGCATCGGGAGGCTGAGGCAGGAGGATCACAAGTTCTAGGTTAGCCTAGGCTATATAGTGAGACCCCCATCTCAAAAAACCTAAACATCTGGAGCTGCAGAGTGGCTCAAGTGGTAGAGTTCCTGCCTAGCAAATTCGAGGCCCTGAGTTCAAACCCCAGTACCACCAAAAAGAAATAACAAACAAATTCCAAAAAACTAAAACATCAAAACAAAAACAAAAGTGTGGGGAGAGGTGGGAGTGTGGCTCAGTGGTAGAGCACTTGCCCAGTATGTGTAAAGCTCCAGTTCCGTTCCCAGCACCACCAAAAAAGTAGGGCTGTGGGGGTTGAACACAATGCTGAATGGGCCAGCAATTGAATTTGGAGACCTCTTGGGATTCTCTTTTTAAAATAACCAAATAAATAAATAGCCTGGGCATTGGTGGCTCATGCCTGTAATCTTAGCAACTCAGGAGGCAGAGATCAGTAGGATCGAGGTCCAAAGCCCTGGAGAGTGGGGGGTGGGGAGGATAGCTTATGATACCTTATCTCAAAAACACCCAACACAAAAAAGGGTTGGTGGAGTGGGTCAAGTGGTATATAGTGCCTGCCTAGCAGGCACAAGGCCCTGAGTTCAAACCCCAGTACTGCAAAAATTAAACAAATAAATAAAATAAATAAAAATAGTACGAACTCCAGGATCCAATGAGCCACTTAGTCTCTGTCCAGGAAAAACACTAAGCACCTGACGCAAAGCAGGAGGCCCAGGAGCAATGGGCACAAACTCCATCACAACATGGTATAAAATTAGGAAAAACTAAATGCCCTCCTAGAGGGGAATAACTCTGCTGGGGTGCTGGTCAAAGGTGAGGAGCAGAGGGTGGGGCATCTGTTGGTGGATGAGACGGATGAGATCCTTTTGAGAGGAAAAAGATACAGAACACCATCCTCAGTAAAACACCATTTAGAGACACAACAGGGTGTGCTTCCTGTGGATTCAGCAAAAGGCCTGCAAAGATTCAGACCAACCTAGTAAAAGTGGTCAACCCAGAGAGGATGTCGGATTGGGAGGAGGGGCAGGGGACAAGGAAAATCAGCTTACTCTTAACGTTTCATTTTCCCCAGGTTGAATTCTCACCTTGCTGTTGCCTATCAGCAAGCCCCTGCTGTTGCCTGTTGGAAGAGACCACACCCTAAAAGCACCCAGTGCTGTCACTGTTCCCAGCTTGTCTTGTAGCTGAGAGCATCCTGGCCAATGGGATCTAAGGGAAACCTGCCAGGGACTTCTGGGAAACAGCTTCCCTTCTAAAGGAGATTTTCAATATTCCTGACCACTTCAATCATGTCTCTGATGAGGACTGATGCAGAAAAGCCAACATTTACAGAGACTGGCATTTCATAAAGTTGTTGCACCATTCTATTTGCCTGAACAATAGAATCTTTTCTGTCTTCTTGGAAAAACACCCTTCTGTTAATAACCCCCTGTTGTTAGGCCCCCACTTTTGGTTAGGTGTTTTGAATGGAGCTGACTAACTGCCCTCAGGAGAAAGCACATGACTTAGTACTAGCCGATCACAGTGACTGGCTCAGAAATGGGCCATGATTCATGTCTAGAACTTTGCTTGAGCTATTAGGAAAGAGGGCTCACATCTCCTCGGTTTTATAAACCTGTAGCTTGATTTGTAAACCTGGGGAATCTTTTGCCCAGCAAAGGGAGAATCTTCCTGAGAGCAAAGCCAACATGAAAAAAAGCAGTGGCAAAAGATGGAGCAAAAAGACCTTCCTTTTAACATCACCTGACTACCTGGATCCAGCCTTGCCTGAAGCCAATCCTCTGGAATTTTCAGTTATACCAACCAAAAAATTCTCTGTCCAGCTTAAGCCAACTAGTCTGGTTGTTATTACACTGATATGGTTATTGAGCTGCAATCTGTGCCAGACCCAGGTTATTACATTTTAATGTGTGTCAGGCCCTGAGAACAAGGTAGTGGGCAAGACCTGGCTGTGATAATCAGATAGGGGCCTCAGCTGGGCTCCTTCCTGACCTGAATCAAAGCTCTCCTTGGATGGGGTCTTCAGCAGCTCTTCTGGTTCACCCTCCTCCTCCATCTCATCTTCTGTCTGCTCTCCAGGACTTAGGGAGCAAATCTCACTGGGCACGGATGCATAGGTCTCCTGCCTGAAGCCAGGATGGAGGACAGAAGGAAAGAAATACAAGTAAACGGGGTGTGGTAGGGGGACTTGCCTAGAGCCAGGCCTTGTGCCAAGCTCAACAGGAACATATATTCTTGGTCTCTGTCAAGATGGTGTGGAAGGCCTCTTGCTTGACACACCCTCATCCCTAGAAACCTGTCACTCCAACAAATGAAATATGCAAGGGCACAGCCAGGCGCTGGTGGCTCATGTCTATAATCCTAGCTACTCAGGAGGCAGAGATCAGGAGGATCGTTGTTTGAAGCCAGCCTGGGCAAATAGCTGGCCAGACTCTATCTTGAAAAAACCCATCACAAAAAAGGGCTAGAGGAGTGGCTCTAGGTCCTGAGTTCAAACCCCAGTACTGAAAAAAAAAAAAAAGGCAAGGGCACAGAGATGAGATGGGGGCAAAGCAGACAGTGAAGCTGCAGTCCTGGGCCACCAACTTCCCTTCAGATGGGTGCAAAGTGGCTTTGGCTCCTTGGGATTGTGGGAGACTAAACTATGCTCAGCAAGGTGGCCCAGGAGCCAGGACCCTGCTCATGGTAAGATGTGAGCCTCAAAACCAAATGCCAAAGGGAGCTGTGGCCATCCCCTTGGTGCCCATGTCTGTGACACTCCAATGCCACCTCAGGACCAGAGGCTCTTGTCAGGGCCTGGTCCCCCAGGCACCTGAGAGCTTACATGGAGGCAGCAGAAAAGCCTCAGGGGAAGAGGCATAGACAGGGACAAATTCAGAAGTAGCAGAGGAAACCCCAAAATTCTTCTACTCAAAATAAGCACCCCTCAAACCAATGCCTCAAATAAAAAGTTAGAGTCCAGCTAGGCATGGCAACTCACAGCTATAATCCCAGCTACTCAGGAAGTAGAGACTGGGAGAATAGAAGTCACAGTCAAAGGCTGGCCCAAGCAAAAAACGCCAAGACCCTATTCAAAAAATAAAGGGCTTAAGTGGTAGAGTTTAGGCCTAGCAAGTGCAAGGCCCTAGTTCAAACCCCAGTACTGCCAAAAACAAAAACAAAAAATCCCTAGAATCTGGGTTTGCTCCAAATAAAGCTGATTTGTGGCATAGGTTTTTTTTTTTTTGGTACTGGGGCTTGAATTCAGGGCCTACACCTTGAGCCACTCTACCAGCCCTCTTTATTATTATTTGGTTTTTTTGGGGGGTTTTTTCGTGATAGGGTCTTGAGAACTATTTGCCTGGGCTGGGTTTAAACCTTGATCCTCTTGATCTCTGCCTTCTGAGTGGCTAGGATTACAGGCGTAAGCCACCAATGCCCTGGTGTGGCATAGAGGACTCAAAGAGAGAAGTAAAGGAATAGCTTTCTTTTAGAGAATAAGAAAACACGCAGCTCCAGTGCACCCTCCCTTCCAGTACCCCTTCCTGGCCAAACCCACCCCTCCCTAGACTGGGTCAGGTTCCCACTGGTCTCCCACACCCCTGAAGCTTCCCATTCCCATGCCCAGAGGCTCGCCAGGCACACTGCTTCTGCACTTTAAAACCTCTCAGGTCGTCACTGGAACTGTGTTTTCAAAGTCTGTCTCCCCAACCAGGTTATAAGTGTACTAAGTGCTGATAGGACCTGGGATGGCCACTCCAATTCCTGTCCTTGGGCTGCTGCTGCCGCTGCTGCTCCTGGTGGTCGATCTCCAACAAGTGCTGCTTCATGCAGGTGGTGATCTCTGGGCCCAGGTGCCAGATGAACACGCAGCTGCAGAGGCCAGAGATGCAGAAGGGGAGGAGAGCGAACATGGGAGTTACTACCATGTCTGAGCCTGCAGCTACCTGTGTCACCACGGCCAAGTCCTCCTCCCACAGGTGAGCACAGGGCTTCAATTTTGTCAGATCTATGCCCTGACTCAGGCCATCCTGAGTCTAGGGCATCCTGGCAACCAGGGCCTGCTCTGGGGGCCTCAAGACCTGAGGAAAAGGGCTTCAGGGAAAGTATGTAAGAAATCAAAGGAAAAGCTGGAAGGGACTTCCTCAGCCACCCACCACGTGCTACGGAATTTACATGCATCATCCCTTTCGATTTTCATCACACAGTTTTCAAGGTGGATGGTGCATTTCTCTTTTGCAGAGGAGCAAAGGCTTAGAGAGGGGAAATAACCAGCTCAAGGGCATAAGAAAGTCAGTGACAGATCTATGATGGAACTCAGTGTTAGGAGTGACCCCAAGGTACATACTTGTACAAGGTGGGCGTGAGCTGGAGAGCTCCAAAGTTTGCGAGCACAATGTGCTGTTGTCTGAGACCCACGCCTAGAGGGAAGCCCAGCTGGAGCAGTTCTTGCCCTGTCCTACCTGTCTCCAGATACTGTGATCAAGTGACGACAGTCATAGGTGAACTTCATCCCGGTAATGATTTCTGCAAGCAAAGCAGAGAAGCCGCCCTTGCCTCTGAGTCAGAGGCTGTAGGTCCTGGCTGTAGGCTGGGCAGTGAGGAACACCCACCTGAGTGGCCAAACATCTTGGCAACACATTCTCCTGAATAAAAGTCGATCACAGAGATGCTTTTGTCAGAGCAGCTTGTGGCTAAGAAGGTGCCTGAGGGATCCACATGGACCTGCCAGGAAGAGTACCCACACGTCACTTAGGCTGCCTGCTTTACCCTACTTTAAAGCTTGAGTCAAACATCCGAACCCCTGCTGACTGAGGCTCCTTTTATGCTGGGCACTTGGTGCTAGGAATTGTCCTGGGGTCCTCTCCCTATATACACCTTGGCAGAGCAAGAACTCTTGCTTCCATTTTACAGGTGAAGAAATTAACAGATACCACAGTGGTCAGGCTCTGGACTAAACATCACATATGTGTGGACTCAATCCCTTTACAGAACCACCCTGAGAGAGAAGCTGTTTTTATTTGTATTTTACAGATTACAAAACAGGGTCAAGAGATGGTACCTTCCCAAGGTCACATAGTCAGCCTGAAGCAGAGTGGGGGGTCTGACCTCAGAACAACTCTCAGACTAGAGAGCACTCTGAGAAGTGCTTACCTTTCCCTGTGTCTCGTGGAGGGATGCCAGGGGAAGAGTCTAGGCTTCTCTGTTCTTCCCACCCCACCAAGCTGCCACTCAAACTGAAAGTCACTCTAGTGACCCTGCTTGGGACAGGCTCAGTAAAAGGCCACCCTCTTCCCTGCTGCCCAGCACCCTTGGCTAACCAGGCCTGAGTGGGTGCTGCCCAGCAAGTAATCCTTTGATTAAGCACCAGGGGGACACAGGGATCAGATGGCGGGTCAGGGCAGTGGACAGGCCCTGTGTTGGGTTGTGTGTGTGGAGGTCTTACCCACCTTCAGCAGGGACCCTTCATCACCCTGGGATCCCTTGTAGCATTTCTTCTGCTTTCCATTCACTGTATTGTAGACCCTGGAAAGGTAGGAGCACAATATAGGGGGATAAGGAGGGCTCTTCCCACCCAGCTGTTTCTTTTGGCTCTTGTTGCCTCCTCTCCCTAGAAGCCCCCTACTACCTCTTGTCTCCATTTGATGCCTGGACTGAATCCCCATCTCAAGTTGACCATACGGAAGTTACATATTGGGGTATCTACTTACTTAGTGTCTGTCCCCTCCATACAGCAAGCTCAGTGCCTGGCCCCAGCTGGAAGAAGCCCCTAAGGAGGTGAGAACACACCCTTCCCAGGCTCAGCTCTGATGTCCCTTTCTCTAGGAAGTCCTGCATGACCCTGGATAGGCTCAAGTGTCTCCCCAGGGCCTCCACAACCGCCAAAGTTATACTCATCCTAGCCCTGACCACTCTGTGCTGTAATTGTCTGGTGATATGGCAGTGTCCCTTCTACTGGAGTGTGAGCTCTGTGAAGGAGGGCCTGGGTTGCCCTGGCCAATATGGTAACCCCAGCACTGTCTGTCCCAGATAGGGCTCAGGAAAGGTGGGTGACTGAGTGAGTTTGTAACCTCTCAGGCACCCCAAGTAGGCTCCCGGGAGAGCCAAAGGAAGCCCTCTGCAAACTTGGTGGCTAAGACCAGAAGAGCCTGGCTTGTAAGAAGCACCCACTTTGTCTTTCATACCTCTATAGATTCTCAGGGACCACAGGAACAGTAAGGAAAGCAGATAGCTAAGGAGAAGACAGATCCACTGAGATCCCAGACAGGCCTGTCTATAACCAGCCAGGGCCAGGTCAACAAAGAGTACAGAGCAGCCCCTCACCTCACATTGCGGTCCTGACAGGCCACAGCCACATACTTCTGCGTGATGTCAATGTCCATGTCATACAAAGTGGTTTTCTCTGCTACGTGGTGGGTGCGGACAAAGTGCAGTCCATCCGAGGCCTGGCAGGGTGGCAAGACCTTCAGAGGATACCCCTGGCAGGCTTCCGACCCCAGCCCTCAAGGAAGCTATACCACCCTACCCTCTGGGCACTGCGGAAGTAGATGCTCTTGTCAGCCCCACAGCTGATCATCTGGATGTCTCTGTTGCCTGCAGGAAAGGAGGGACAGTGGGTCAGCCAGGGATGGGTTACACTGCATGGGAAGCTTGGGAGCCCCAGCTAGGGAACATACTAGGGCAGGGCAACCAGCCAGGATCAGAAAGAACCCTGGAAGAGGAGAGACTCTGTAAGACATTGGCTGTGTGTGAGGGGGTCCAGGTGGAGCTGTTGGTCAGGCAGGCCACTGAAGAGAAAGGGCACATAGGGAAACAAAGCCCTGGCTGGTGACTCACACCTATAATCCTAGCTACTCAGGAGGCAGAGATCAGGGAAACAGAGGCCAGGGATACAGAAGGGATACCATCTTAAATGTGGGATTTAGGTGGGTGACTTGAGGGGTAGAGTGGAGGTGAGACTGTAGCAGGGACATGGAGGCTCATCCCATCAAGAACTATTAGGACATCTACACGAACCTTGGACTAGGCCCCATGCACGTGCCCAACCTTCCTGAATGCTCACCAGTCACCCCACACATGAACACAAGGGTTCAGAGGAAGTCCTTGTCCCAAGGTGTCCGGAGAGCCAAGACAGGACCAGGAATGAACACAAGCACTCTCTGGTGCCAGAATCAAAGTTGTTGCACACTGTGCTCCAAACCTGGGCTTCCCTCTCAGCCTCAGCTTTCTGTCTATACAGAAGGCCTAAGTCTTTCCTTGTAGAGCTATGTATAAGGCTGCTTGCTAGTAGTAAGCACTGAAAGTGATCTCACTTTTATTATTCTATTTTTATAGAATAAAGCTGTAATGAGGACAAGAAGACAGAACAAATAAAAACAAAGGCCTGGTACAAGAGGCATTCTTCCTTCATGACAGGACATTTGGGAGTGGATCTGACGTAAAAGGATTAGTTAGTCAAGCAGGAATTACCACACACAGAAGGGTGTAAGCCCTGTGGGGGAGTGAGTGTGACCTGGGAGAGACCCAGAGAGGCCTGCAAACTCCTAATAATGCTTTGCTTTTGAGCAACATGTGCATCTCAAGCCATTGGAACAGAATTGGCAATGGGTGCGTCTGTCCCTATTGTATCTACAGACTGTGAACTTTGAAATGGACATGCTATATTTGCTTCTTTGAATATATATTTCACAGATGACAGACAAAAGACTGACTCCTTCCTTAGAAAGGCAGTTTCTGACAGGTTCTGATGGGCCAGGGCTGGGTTTACATTCCTGATCCATGTTTTCACACTGCCCTGGGTGAACCAGGCCAGTCAGAGTAGGGCCCCAGGGAGCCAAGTGTAGGATGTGCACCTTCTCAGATTGGCCAGGGGCTCTAGTGCAGGGCCATCCCCTTTAGACGGTCCCCTTAAGGACTGACTACTGGCTATCCGGCTGGCCAGTCATTACCTCTGCTGGTCAAGCCATTGGATTTACTGATTTATTCTAACCACGTGCTCACACTTTTCTGAATATATTTTTCCTTTAGTGTAATCTGTTCTTGATATTAGTTTGTCACCTGAATTCCTGCTTTTTTGAAAAGACAAAAATAGAAAATATACTATTCACTTTGACTGATATTTTCATTTACTTTTGGGATGAGGTCTCTGTTGCCAGGCTGGTCTCAAAACCATAGGCTCCCATGATCCTCCATCCTCAGCGTCCTAAGTAGCTGGGACTTCAGGAGCATGCCTTTGTGTCCAGCCCTATTTACTTTGTAAAAAAATCTATGAACATTAATTTTCATAAACAAACAAAAAATTCCAGTCTTTGTGTCCTGCTGTGCCTTAATCCAGAGCTTGCATCCCTATTTCTGTTTAAGCTACAGGGTGTTCCTGCTGTTTCTTACAAGCAAAGAGGCCATATAATGAGGTGCAAAGTGGGAAGGAAGGGGCTCACCAGCAAACTTAATGGCCGTGATGGAGGAGGAGTGGTCGTCTAGGGTCTGCTCCAGGTTGTAGTTCTTCTCTACATTCAGCACGTGGATCAGGCGGTCCCGACTGGCTGAGGCCAGCAAGGTCAGTCCTGTGAGAGAAGAAGAACCTGGGTTCCCAAAGGCTGCCTGGATGCCTCCCAGAAAGGTAGCATGACTGAGCTGTCCAGTCCTTGGAGAAGGGCTGTAGTCAAGTTGTCCTGAACCCAGAAAAGACCATGTTCTTTGCTCTGGGTATTTTTTCCCAAGAGCCCCTGAGCCCTTTGTTCAGGGAAGACAAATCTTAACATATGCAGGGTGCTGTGCACACATCCATAGTAGATGCTCTGGCAGAGCCCAGTACCCTTTTTTGGAGAGTCCAATTCCATGGCATGGCATGGCATGGCACGGGAAGCCCTGGTATCCTCTCAACCTCACCTGAACCACACTCCTCACTTGAGAGAGCACAGCCTTGCTGACTGCTTGGCCTTCTCCACCCACCCCTCAGATAGTGCCTGTCTGGTCACCAGGTGAGAATGAAGCCTAAGAACACAACCTGAGGCTGAAGAAAAGTTCAGGAAAGGCATAGGAATCAAGGAGATTTAGAGAAAAAATGGTGGGCAGAGGTGTAGGATGTGGAAAAATGACAGATGGTGGGAAAAAACCATCATTTAACACCTCAGGACATAACTCCACTTATGCTGGAGTCTGGACAAAGATGTAGCATGTGAATCAAATCATGGTGAAAATGCAAAACTCAAGTTGAGAGAAATTCTACCAAATGACTGGCCTGTACTCTGCAGAAAGCCAAATTCAAAGACTTAATTTTGACTTAAAATTAAGACTTAATCACAGTCTTAATTTGACTGTGGCAATGTTCCAGAACAGGCAACAAATAAGCCAAGACAATTAAAATGTGAACCTGGATTAGAAAAATGACCATGCTATGACAACAATATGCCAATATTGGGACAACTGGCAAAATTTAAATAAGGACCATGGGAGAGATGACAGCCCCGCATCAAAGATTTGATAGGTGTGCTGTAGACATGTTTTTCATTTGTTTGTTTTTTGTTTTATTTACAGTGCTGGGGGGAATGCAGGCTATCATACATGCTAGGCAAGTGCTCTCCTACTGAGCCACCTCCCCTAGCATGCAGTATTTATGTAAATGGTGTCCTCTTTTCCTGGAAATGCTCCCAGAAGTATTCTAGGGCAAAGGGGCATCATGTCTGCAACTTACTGTCAAATAATCTGGCAAAAGAAAAAAGCATTTTATTTTTTGTATATCTGCATATGTAACACACATGTATATACAGAGAGCAACAGGGAGAGGGAAAGCAGAGGGAAGTCATAATCACAGGTCAGATTGGATTTAAAAGAAAAATCTTGAAGCCCAGTGCCGGTGGCTCACGTCTATAATCCTAGCTACTCAGGAGGCAGAGATAAGGAGAATCGCTGTTTGAAGCCAGCCCAGGCAAATAGTTTGTGAGACCCTATCCCAAAAATACCCAACAAAAAAAGGGCAGGCAGAGTGGCTTAAGTGGTAGAGTACCTGCTTAGCAAGCATCAGGTCCTGATTCAAACCCAGTATTGCCAAAAATAAATAAATAAATAAAATAAAGTAAATAAGAAAGAAAAAACTTGAATCTGGGTGAAGGGTATATGAATGTTCCTTATAATAGTCTTACAATTATTCTGTCACCTTCAAACTTTTCCAAAATAATGCCTAACAATCAGTGTGTCTTCCCAGTAGAAGCCGAGCTCATTCAGACATTCTCTCTTGTAGATCACTCACCTCCTTGGCCTGGGCATTGCTGGGGTGTGAGATCACCATGAAGCAGTCAAGTTGGGCCCAGCCTGCAAGTGTCTTGCTTTGAAGAGTTCCAGCCACCTTGGTCCCAGGGTCCAGCAACAAGATCCAGCCCTTACTAAACCCAGGATTCCTAGCTGTGTTCCCTAGTCTCACCAAACACCAATTCCCAATTTCTGTGGCTCCACCTCCCCCAACATGCCAGGCTCACCTGTTTCGGGCTTGGAGTACTCCAGGCATAGCACTTCAGCATCATGGGCCTCCACCTTGACCAGCTCGTCCATGAAGTGCAGCTCATGGATCCTGGGGAACACACACTGCCTGCTATACTCTGCCCAGGCTCCCCATCTCTTGGGCCCATTTGCCCAAGGTGCCCTACTAGAAAAGGTCAGAACAGCCAGACAGGCAACACTAGAAGCCCCTATCATGCCAACGGGTCTAGATGCCCAACACATCCCATGTAGAAAGCTGCCACCATAAAGCAGCGGAAAGCAAGTCAAGTAGACTTCACTCGCCAGGCCAAAACATCCCAGGACAGTCCTTTGGGAGAATGGATATTTCTTCAGGGCCGCATCAGAGGTGATCCCTGAGGGGAATGGGGGCCTGGGGTCATCATCGAGGATACAGCTCTAATTCTTTTTTTTGGCAGTACTGGGGTTTCAACTCAGGGGCTTGCATGTGCGTGGCAAGTGCGCTAGTACTTTAAGGAGCCATGCCCCCAGCCCTCATTCTTAAACGGTCTCAAAAATGGACCCTCTTCATTCTCTCAAAATAAAATCAATCAACAGGCCATCCCGGCTCTTCCACTGCCTACTGTGTGATTTTAGCCCAGCCACTTGGCTTCTCTGATCTCAGTGAACCATCTGAAAAACAAAGCTAAATAGTGCTTACATAGGAGGTTTGGTGAGGTTAAATAAGTTTATATACACAGTGCTCAGGATAGCACCCATCAAGAATGTTACACCCATGTTAACTTTTTTTTTTTATTAAGATGGGGTCTCACTATGTAGCCTAGGCTGGTCTGGAATTCTCAGTCCTTCTGCCTCAGCCTTCCTAGTGCTGGGATTACAGTGACCACCACCATGCTGGGCCTGTGTTAGCTCTTGTTACTGTTTGCCATTCATACAGAGCCTGTCAATGTGAGTAACTCACTGACACACTTCATTGTGCCTCACGCAGTGGTCAGTATCATAACAGTTGCCAGTGTTTATAAATTCAGAGGGCCTGGGGGTACAGCTCAAGCAGTGGAGCGCTTGCCTAGGAAGCACGAGGCCCTGGGTGCAGTCCCCAGTATTGCAAAAAGTAAAATAAAAAATTTAAAAATTACATAATTTCACAGAAAAAGCCCTACACTTTCTGCTCTTCTTAGACAACTTGAAGCCTGTTCTCTCAGTGCCATGTGGTGACTACTCCTTTATGGAGCACATGTCCCCATTATCCCCCAGTAGCTCCAACACCCAGATGGTCACAGCTATCATGTCATCTAAACCTAGTCCCTGTGACAGGCTCATGTTTCACAAGGGTGGTAAACAGCCACCAGGATGCCCTGCAGCTGGTATCTGTCACTGATGTTTTGGCACTGCTACCATGTGGCTGGTGAAAGTGGTGCGAGTCTGCCTGGCTGCTGTGTGGGCCGTCTACACATCTAGCTGCCAAGGACCTGGCACTTTCCCTGACCTCAGCCTTCTGGAAGCCCCTTCCCAGCTAAGTCCCCAGGGGTGGCTGCCCACGGGACTGGGCAAAACTTACAGTCCCTCATTCCCAGTGGTCAGCTGGAGGTGTCAAGACCAGAGCTCCTCCCAGCTGTCCCGAGAACCCCAGCCAGAGTTGGGAGATGCACATTAGATATGGCCAGGGCACACTTGCCTCAGATTTCCACTCCGGTCGCCTGAAGCCAAGTGCTGGCCGTCAGGACTGACCTGCATGACGCGCACCCCAGCTTTCACATCCACAGGCGTCCCGTTCTCGCTGCCCCGGTCGGGGAAGTGTGATGTGTCCTGCAGGTGCTGGATGTCATTCTCCACGTACACTACTTTCAGAAGGGTCTATGGGAAGGAGAGGGCTGGCGTCAGTGCTCACCGGGCCACCCCATCGCTAGTCACTCCTTCGTTAGTACCAAAACTTCAGTTTTGAGCTGGAAGTAATCACCACTCTGAGCAATAGCTGTTTTCCAATCTCCCTTGCAGCTAGATGAGACTATGTGTGTGAATTTTGGGCAATGAGCTATAAAGCAAATGAAAACCCTTCTGCTCTGTTACCTCCATCTTCCTGCCTAGAACTCCAATATGCTGTCCAGAGCTCCAGGAACCATTATAGATCCTGAGGATGAGAGTTACTCCCTTAACTGACACAATGGAGAGGGAGAAGGCCTTTAGGTCCCTAGGGGCTTCCTGCAGAACAGTCTGAACTAGTTACCTCCAGACTCCTTTCATAAGCCAGAAAGCCAAACTTCTATGAGTTTTGAGTCCTTCTATTGTGTACAACCAAACACAGCATAGGTGTAGAAGAGAAGATGGCATCCTTGGCTGGGGTGAGGGAAGTCGTAAAGCAGCACTTGCTACAGACGTCCTGTATCAAGGGCCTTTTTTGTCCAGCCACAATGACCTTCTTCAGATTTTCCAACTCACCTCAGGACCTGTGCATGGGTTATTCCCTAGGTGTGGAACTCTCTCCCCGTTTCTTTACTGCTCCCATCCCTCCAGATTGCAGCTCAACTATTTGTTTCTTCCAGAGGAAGCGGCTCCTGATGCCCAGACAAGGTTCCATGACGCCGTCACATATTCTATCTACTAGCATTATGTCCTTTTTCTTTTTTTGGGGGGCAGGGGAGGGACAAGGATTTGAACTTAGGGCTTCGAGCTTGCAAAGCAGGCATTCTATCATTTGAGCCACACTCCAGTCTATCTTGCTCTGGTTATTTTGGAAATGGGGTCTCACAAACTATCTGCCTGGGTTGGCCTCAAACCACAATACCCCCAACCTCAGCCTCCCAACTAGCTAGGATTATATGAGTGAGCTACTTGTACCGGCTTTCTTTTTTCTTTCATGGTGCTTATTGCACTTGTGCTTGTATGAAATTTGTTGTTATTGGTTCACTGTCTGTACCTCCTCCACTAGACTTGTGGGTGCCACAGGGCAGGGGATGGGTCTGTCTTAGTCACTGCTGTGTCCTTGGCACAGACCTGAGTAAGTATATGCAGAAGAAACGAATGCATGACTCAGGTCCCAGCTATTCAGAACAGCTCCTCGCTGGCCTTGCATTACTAACCAACATCTCCTCAGCCCCACTGAGGCTTCCTGCAGGGCCTTGCTGGCACCCCAGGAGGCCTCCCTGCATGACAGGCTAGCTCAACAGGGGAAGGCCCTGCCTGGCTTGGCCCACCAGGTACAGTCTCAGGGAGATCCCACTCAAAACTTAGGGACCAATTTTATCTCTATTGAATGTATGGAGTTACCTGGAATGGCCTCATACACACACACCTGGACAGCAGGAGCTGGCTAGCAGAGAGAATCAGAAAGGACAGACCCTGCCACCCCAGAAAGGAATAGAGAGAAACAGAAGGAGGAACCCTGCCCTGATTCCTGGTTCTGGCCCTAGTAAAGCCTAACAGCCAGGTTCCATAGGCTTCTGCCTGCCCTTATATCCTGATTGGCCTAAAGGAGGTCTTCATTCCTCCTTGAAAGGGAGGTCATGATGAAGCTGCTCACATTGCTGAAGATGTTTTTCTGCCAGTGAGAGCTGGAGTCGCTGTTCATGTTCCAGAACCGGATGGTGTTGTCTGAGGAACAAGTCAGGAAAGACCCGGATGGCAAACAAGCTCTCTGATCTTCAAATTCAGGATACACCTATAATTCCCAGATAACAAGGCAAAGGGTGGTTCATTATGTTCACTTCTGTGACAGCACAGTGATATACTGCTGCATTTGGTGAGAAAAAGACAAACAGGTATGGTATAGTACCTTCTATGTTAAAAAATAAATGAGGGGATAAAAAGGACATAAATACTCCCATTTATTGTCCATGGTACTTCAGCCCAAGCCTTAAAAACAACCTCACAAATTTCCAAGAAAATTGGGCAGCTCAGTCAAAAATCACTAAGTGTAAAAGGAAGCAAGGTATTAAGAAGAAACATCAGAGTCTAGCAAAATCATCAAATATTGGAATTATCAGATAGAATATAAAATCACTATGTTAAAAAAGCTTGTTAAATAACTTTAACAAAATTTAAAGTATGAGTAGTCAATCCGAAATTATAAAAATTAACCAAAAAGGACTGAAAAAGAACAAAATAGAACTGTTTCTAGAAATGAAAAATAAAGCAGGGCTGGCAGTGTGGCTCAAGTGGTTGAGTGCCTGCCTAGCAAGTGTGAGGTCCTGAGTTCAAACTCCATACCCATTAAGAAAGAAAAGAAGAAAAAAGAAAACAAAAGAGAAAAGAAAAGAAAGAAAAAGCGTATTTTTTTTCTTTCTTTTTTTGGTGCTAGGGCTTGAATCCACAGACTACCATTGAGGTACACCTCAGTCTAAAAAATAAAAGACATTAAAAACCAGCCAGGCACAGTGATGCATGCCTGTAATCCCAGAGCTCAGGAAACAGAAGTTGAAGAGTTTAAGGCCAGCCTGTGCTGTATGAGACCGTATCTCAAAAACAACACTGCAAAACAAAAACAAAAGACACAGTTTAAGAAATGAAATGAACTGGGAGACAGAACTGAAGAGTTGTTTAGAATGAAGTTCAGAGATGCAAAGAGACAACATGCAAAGAGATTTCAAAGACTCAGCAGGGGGCTCACACCTGTAATCTCAGTTACTCAGGAGGTCAGATCAGGAGGATCCTGGCTTGAGAGGCCAGCATAAGGAAAAGTTAGTGAGATCCCATCTCAACCACTAAGCCAGACATGGTGTCCAGTGCCTGTCATCACAGCTACATCAGAGGCCTTATGTAGGAGGATCAGAGTCCCAAGGCTGGCCATGGGGCAAAAATATCAGATCCTATCTGAAAAACAACTAAAGCAAAAGGACTGGGGATATTGCTCGAGTGGTAGAGTGCCTGCCTAGTAGCTGCCATAAATAAACAAACAAATAAAAAAAAATGACAGGTTTCTTTGACATTCAATATTGGATGTCCCCAACACCCGCTAAATATTTTGGGCCATTAAAGGGACAATGGGATTTAAAGACACCCAGGGTATGACTAAAATCACTGCAGGCCGCAAAATGCATGCCCAAAGTAAACCCAGGGGTGGAGTAAGATCTCAGGGCAGGGGCTGTGACAGACCAGCTGGACTCAAGGTAGATCACTACAGGAGAGGAGGGTGCTTCCCCTACAGGTAAGGTCACATGGAGGAAGCCTCTTAGGGGATGCCCTCAAGCCCTCCATGGTAGGCAAGTGCCCTCTTTCTCTCTTCCAGAAGTGGTGAACAGCTGGGGGTTCATCCTTAGGTTGTAATCTATACTACTGGAAGGATTTGATCACAGGTCCTCAAGCAAAAACGTCTTTTTTTTCTGCAACACTCTCCACTGTACCCTGGAAGATGGGGTGCCCTTGCCTACCAATGGTCCCTAGAAAAGAACACTATCCTATAATTAGACCTAGTCTATAGAAAGCTGAGGTCCCATTTGCCCAAGTATTCATGGCTTTATGTAGGACCTAGGGATAGCTTATAAAACCCAACAGAAAGTTTCTACTCTGGCTCTTCTCTCAGCTGACTCCTTCACTACCTCCTAATATGGAAAGCCCCTTCCAGCTGAGTCCATCTGAGGTCCTTTATGCACTCCCCTTCCTGTCTGACTCTTGAAATGACAGAACTCAAATAATATGTCATTAGCTAAGGCTAGCTAAAGTCCACAACAGATCCTTGATGCCAACCCCAACCCCCGTGACAGACCTGAAAAAAATGGGTCTTCCAAGGCCCAACTAGAGCCCTATGGAAAGGTTCCTCTGTGGTCTTACTTTCTACTCCTACAGCCATCATGGTTCCCATCACAGCCAGCTAGATCCACATCCCATATGTCAAGCTGGCCAACATACAGGATAGAGGATCCTTCTCTAATGGAATATACCTGTAAGTCAGAAGAAACTCTTAAATACCTCTTCAAAAGGATAAGTAGGTAAGTGAGCTCTGTCTTAACACAGAAAGAATGCACCCACGTTTTCTACTCCACAGTCCTCCATCACCTCCAGCTGCTTCACCTCCTCTGTCCTTCACCATGGAGCAGGCTTCCCCATCTGTCTGGAAGGTAACATGGGATCTCCCCCTCAAGAATTCACTGGCAGGGCTGGCGGGGTGGCTCAAGTGGTAAGAGCATCTGCCTAGCAAGTGTGAGTTTAAACCCCAGTGCTGCCAAAAAAAAAAAAAAAATTCACTATCTTCTGCTGATTATATTCTTCCCTGTCAGCCCCCATCTGCCCTTCTCCCTCCCTCCAGACACTGTCATTTACTTTGCCAACCACACAGCTCCCTACTCAACTCCACTTCTCCCTGCTGCATATGCATTAACCCCAAGAGCTGGGGCTACGTAGTCTCCATCTCTCCTAAACTCTGGGCCTCAATTCCCATTCACAACATTCATCAGCAAAGTGTGTCAGGAGCTGGAGCTGCTGCTCTTGAGTTTGAGAGACCTTGGTATCAACAATACCTTCACTATTCTCTGCCATGGCTTCCTGGTGAAGGCTCTCTTTTTCTTTTCTCACCAGTCCTCATGCAGAACATTCACTGTTTTTGGGTGTGAGGTACTGGGATTTGAACTTAGGGCCTGCACTTTGAGCCCTTTTTTTGTGATAGGTTTTTTTCGAGATAGGGTCTTGAGAACTATTTGCTGGGGCTGGCTTCAAACTGAAACCTGACCTCTGACTCCTAAGTAGCTAGGATTACAGGCATGAGCCATCAGCACCTGGCTCAGAACATTCACTTTTTGTATCAATCACATGAAGGGGGTTACTGTCCCTATGTGGGAACCCTACACCCATTGTCACCTTGTCTTTTGGTTCTTCCCCAAGCTAGGCTGGATGATCAACAGATCAGCCTGGGATTATCTGATTATCAGTTCAGGGCTGGAGGAACACGACAAAGCTGGGACACAATTGTTACCTCCTTGCCTCTACCATTAAGAGGCACACTATTTTGCCAGGGCTACCCCACCCATCATACACAGTCCTTTCGACTTTCTTCTTTTCTTTTTTTTTTTTTGCAGTACTGGGGCTTGAACTCAGGGCCTATACCTTGAACCACTCCACCAGCCCTTTTTTTTTGCGAAGGATTTTTTTTCGAGAGGGTCTCACAAAATTGTTTGCTTGGGATGGCTTCGAACCTCGATCCTCCTGATCTCTGCCTCCTGAGTAAATAGGATTACAGGTGTGAGCCACTGGCACCCGACTCCACCTGACTTCTTAACCAGACTCACTTTCACAATTGTGCTATCCTCTTTGGAGTGATCCTACCCTCCCTTGTTTTTTGTTGTTGTTGTTGTTCCTTTTTTGGCAGCACTGGAGCTTGAACTCAGGGTCTCACACTTGCTAGGCAGGCCCTCTACCACTTGAGCCACTCTGCCAGCCCTACCCTACTTGGGAACCTCTAAGGGAAACTCTTTGCCATCAATGCCCCCAACTCCTTCCTTTCACCCATTGGTGCAGCCTCTCTAGAGGTCAGGAGGTTTAAGGCTCTCCAATAGAAACCTCTTCCTCAATGTATAAAATCAGGGGAGCCCATAAGTCTTCCACACCTCCATAACCACCAACCTGGACCCCAGCCTAGGGGATCTTATTTCATATGCGGAACTAAGGCTTACTTGGCTTACCTCTATATGGGGAGGAACAAGTCCCCTTGGACATGATGGCCACTTCATTTTGTGACAACTAAAGTCCTGCTGATGGAACAACAGAGAAGCTATTTTCTTAGCAGCTGCCTCTGCCTGAGCCTAATTAACCTTCCTGTGTCCTGACAAAGACCCTGAGTACTGTCCCTCCCCCAACAGGAAGCAGCTAAAATCCACCTTGTTGCCCATATCTCTGAAAGAATTCAGGGTCCTGAGCTCTTGTTGGTACTTTAAAGGGAACTCAATTAGCAGAAGCTGAGTGAGTCAAGACACCAAAATGTTAATGTAGGCAGGAATGAAGAAATATCTCAGGCTACTTTCCCTCCCAGAAGGCAGAATAATAAAACCCCTGACTCATCCCTGGACTGACCACAGACATAATGAACCATCGCTGAAACAATAGTTAACATAATGGTCCACACCTGGACAGCCTTTGCCCAACTGTCAAACCATTTGGGGAGGGTCTCAGTTTTGCACTAAATAGTAACCCCACCCAAGCCTCCACAGCTTCCAGGAGCATTTGCCCCTTATCCAATTGCCTCATGCTTCAAGGTATACTTAAATTTGCTAATAAATCATTCTTTACTATCTTTCTACTTTTTTGTGGGTCTTTTGCAGCATGATTCTTTTGCCCTACCTGGAGCAGTGTTCTCATCCAAGGACTGAGGAACATTTCAAACTCTCCAAAACACTGGTAACTGTAACAGCATAGATTTTTAATCTTTCAAAATCCCCACATAAGAGGAGACTCACTTCTGTAGTCCTAGCTACTTAAAAGGCTGAGATCCAGAGGATCAAGATTTGAGGCAGCCCAGGCAAATATTTTGAGGGACACTATCTCTAAAATAACCAGAGTAATGTGGACTGGAGTGTGGCTCAAGCTGTACAGTGCTTGCTTTGCAAGCTCAAAGCTCTGAGTTCAAATCCCAGTCCCACCAAAAAAATAAATAAAATAAAAATTAACAAAGAAAAGAGCAACCAGATAGCAAAACCCAAATTCCATAGACACGTAGGCAAACTAGGCAGCAAAACTGCCCCATAATACATCACCACCAGTAGTGAGCTATGTGTATGTAGTAACATGCATCCAGGAGGCCCAAGAGCAGAGCAACCTCAGAATAGCCAACAGGTGTCTACTTGAAAGCACACTAGGCCACACTGCACAGCAGCTGGAATAGGGGAGCGATTTTTTTATTTCTTAATTAATTTATTTATTTTGCAGTACTGGGGTTTGATCTCAGGGCCTTGTGCTTTCTTAGGGTCTCATACTTGCTAGGCATGCATTCTACTACTTGAGCCACTCCACCAATCCTAACATTTAGTTTTATCTATAATATTTCACCTTTTTTTAAATTTTAAAAAATTTCATGTATACTTCACATACGTATTTCCTTATTTTTTGGTACATCTGGTTTTTTGGTTTGTTTTGTTTTTTGACAGAGTCTCACTATGTAGCCCAGTCTGGCTTCAACCCTTTCATCCTCCTGCCTTAGTCTTCGAAGTGCTGGGATTACAGGCACCCACTATCATGCCCAGTTTCACATACAAATTTTAAAAGTACTTTAAAACATTCTTGCTAAGTAAAAACAAGTACTGTCAACACAATCATCATACCCACATGACAGATAGATTCAGGCAGTCAAAGGGCTGAATAATGCCTATTCCAAAGGACTGAGTTCTCTCTTACATCCTGAATTGGGCTGCTAAAAATGTAATTCCTCTAGGACAAACATTCAGAAAATTAGTAAGAAAAAAAAAAAGAAAGAATGTGTAAGACCAGTTGCCTTATATACAAAGAGCACTTAGAACAGCTTTGGAGACTGAAAACCCATAAATTCTCAGAAAATAAAAACTTCAACACTTTTTTTTTTTTTTTACAAAGCAGTAAAATACAGAAACGACCATGCACAGGTCACTGCGGGACACAGTCTCCTGCCACAGGGCCACTGCTCTTGTGTTTGTCCCAACAGTCCCATGTCCCTCTCCCTCACTCCTGCAGGTCTCTGCTCAGATGGCATGGCCTCAGAGAGGCCTGTCGAAATGCCCATTCTTCTCTCCCCTTTGTCCTACTCAGCCTTACTTTTCTTCAGAGGGATGTTGCTACTTGGCAAGCAATATTCCGGTGTTTTTCAGTTTACTCTCCCATCCACATGAGCCCCATGAAGGCAGGACTTTTTTATTTCTTTTCTACTCAGCTGTGTCCCCAGCACCTAGAAGAGGGCCTGGTACATAGTGGGGGTCACCGAGGGGTTTTTTGTTGTTGTTGTTTTGATTCAGATTGGCCTAGAATTTGTGATCTTCTTGCCTCAGCCTCCTGAATGCTGGGAATTATGGGCCTGTACCACAACACCTGGCCTCAATGAGTATGTTTTGAACAAATGGTTCAATGGGCTGTCCAAACTCCACGGAAGTTTCTACTAGCTGGCTGAGCACCCAGGAGGAGAAAGAGAGGGGCTTACCTCCACATTCCAGACATAGGAGCTGTGGAAGAGCTCTGACCACATCTTGCTCACTTTGTTGATGTCCTTAACATCCCAGACATAGATGCTGTGGTCTTTGTACACGCAGGACAGCCACTGATGGACAGGGTCAAACGTCAGTGCCACTGTATCTGGGTAGACTGCTTCTGCTTTCCTGTGGAAGAGGAAGCTAACAAGGCCACCTGGGTCATCGTCACTATCAATGTCAGTGTGAGTTCTAAGAGCCACTTCTGGTGACACAGGAGCTGCCTCCTGTCTGGTAATGCCAGACATCTCTCCTACTCCAACTCCCCTTCTCTGTCCTCCTCCTTCCTTTGCTTTGCTTCTATAGAGGTTGCAAACTGGAAAGCCTAGCCTCTGAGCATTTTCAGTTCTCCACTCATCGACCATTCTTTCCTTCACTGCACTCAATCCAAGCTCTGGTTTGTTTTTTCTGATCATTGAAGGAAAACCAGCAGGCATCTCAGGTCTCCTCTCCTCTATCCTTGGCCTCACCAACACATAATCCAAATCCCTGTGTGAGGTAGCTGAGGAGGGATCTCCTGGCCACAGTGACTCTACAAAGGCTGCAGCTTACTCAGCACTTACTGTGCCAGGCTGAGAATCCATCTGCACTAAATTCTCATAACCACCAGGAAAAGTAGGTACTTTAGAGATGGGGAAACTGAAGCCCAGAGTAGCACACTGACCTGCCCAGCACACAACAGAAGGTGGCAGAGCTGGGTAGCCTAGCTACCACAATGTGCCATAGTTTGTGGATTGCTCAGCCAGCCTCTCTTTCCTTCACAACATCCAATCACCCCCTCTAGGCTTCTCTTGGAAAAGACACCCTGGAGCTAATGTCTAGCAATCTACAGAGAGGCAGCCCCAGGCACCCAGCACTCTCTGGTTGGGTACCCTGCCCACACTCCATAAAAGAGACTTAGAACAAAAGGGACAGGCCACAACTTAGCCTTTGCCTCCACTCCAACATGGCAAGGGATCTAATGGCCCAGTTGTGCAACCTCCCGTGGTTGCCCATCAACCTCAGGACAGACTACAGGCTTCTCCTGCTAGGACCTCATCTCTTACCATCCTCTGCCAGCACAATGTGCTCCCGTCCCACACTCCCTTGCTGTTCCTGCAACATGCCACACCCAGGGTTCTGTCCTCTAAGGCCTTTATACTTGCTGCCCACATAGCTGACTCCTATCAGTCAATTGCCACAGCCCTGCCCAAAACTCTCCCTCCTGAGCCCCTGCTTTCTCTCACCACAGTGCCCAGCCACCTGACAGTCTCAGTTCTGTACTTGATTTTCATCACTGCACTGTAGGCTTCATGGTAGCAGATTCTGCTGTCTAGCTTTCCTGCATCCAGCCTAGGGCAGGTGCTTAGTAGCTGCTTAACAATGTCAGCCACATGGAGGCGCACATTCTATGCCTGCTCTGAGCGCCTGTGAGCACTTGCCATGACCTGGAGTTATTCTGTTTACTCCTGTATTTCTTCCCGCCACCCACTCTCACTTCTCATCCTGGACTTGCCTCGGGAGGCAGGACTTCTCTGCTTTATTCATGTTGCAATGCCCAAGGCTAAAAGTAATCACTAGTATTATTGTAGGATGGCCAGGCGGGTGATAGATCTGGAGGGATAGAGTTGGACAGACTGGGTGGACCCCTCTCCCTCCTCCTCCCCAGCAGGGCAGTACCTGGGCTCCAGGCCCTGTGCCACGTCTACCCCAAGATAGTGCGGCTTGGGCAGGTTGGCGAGGTAGTGCAGGTTGTGGGCCTGAAAGATTCGAACTATCCCATCTGTGCAGCCACAGAAGATGAGCTCCTCACTGACACAGAGGCAGGAAGACAGGGAGACCTGTGGAGACAGGACAGCCCCAGGTGAACCCAGTGCTTCATGTGGTCTGGCTAAGGGACAAGGGGACAGAGCAGCTTTGGGCTTCCAGAGAAGACTTATAATTACTTGGGTCTAAGGTGTCCATTTTAGTACACTTTACAAGTTCTGAAATTATGATACAGTGACAGTCACCACTGAAGGAAACCTGCCAGTAGGCGGACAGAGGCATGAGTTGGGATGGAGCATGGTCGCTGTATATAGAAGAACTTAGCTCATGTAGAAGACATGTGTTCAGAAAACTCAACTTCAGACAGGTCACTTGCAGTAATTGGGTTGAGGTTTTTAGCCTTAAATTTTATTCCTAGGTACTTAAAAACAACTTCAAAGCAGTCTAAAAAAACTTATAGTGTGTCGAAAAGACTGTCTATCTTACCAGGACGTGCAGAGAAGGGGCAGCAAATGCTGGACCTCTAGGCTTAAATGCTGTTTAACCTTTTTATTTTTTTTATTGTTTTATTATTCATATGTGCATACAAGGCTTGGGTCATTTCTCTCCCCTGCCCCCACCCCCTCCCTTACCACCCTGTTTAACCTTTTGTAAGAAGATTAAAACCAGAAAAAAACAAAATGATGCCTAGTCACCTAGGAAAGGCAGAGAAAACTTGGAATTCTTACAGTCTGGAGGTAAAGTCAAAAGAGCAAGCTAGGAAAAGGAGGGGAAACCATGTAGCCAAATAGGCAGCCAGCCAGGAATGGGAAGACAGCTTGGACCCAAGCTTTTAGAGAGGTTACGCCACTTGTTCACATATCATTCTTTAGTTTAAAATTTTATATATCTTCAAGGTTTGTTTTTTTTTTTTTGATGGCACTGAAGTATGAACCCAGGACCTTGCACTTGCTAGGCAGGCTCTCTAACACTTGGTCCACAACCCAGCCAAATTTTATATATTTTGTAGAGTCGTTTTTTTTTTTTTTTAAATTTTGGCAATACTGGGGTTCGAACTCAGGCATCATGCTTGCTTGGTAGGAGCTCTACCAACTTAAGCCATGCCTCTAGCCCTCTTTGCTTTAGGTCTTTTTTGGCAATTACTGGGGTTTGAATTTAGGGCCTCACACTTGCTAGGCAATCACTCTACCAATGAGCCACTCAGCAGCCCATTTTTGTTGTTTTTTGAATAGGGCCTCTCATCTACGCCTGGGCTGACCTGGGAGAGCCTTCTATTTATGCTTCCCAAGTAGCTGGGATGACAGGTGCATGCCACCACACTCAACTTTTATGGGTTAAGATGGGGTCCCTTGAACATTTTGCCTGGCTGGCTTCCTACCTTAATCAAATCTCCATCTCCTGAGTAGCTAGGATTATAAGATTGAGCCACTGTGCTTGGTTTTGCATAGTCTTTTTTTAACTGAAAACTAAGCTAACAGTACCTTAGACTAAATAAGAAATGCAGTCCCTGTGCACAGCAGATTATGAGAGGCCTATGAGAACCATAAGCAAGGCGAGATGCAGCTGAACCGCTTTTCCTAAGATGTTTATCTGTAGGCTGAGATTGGCACAGCCCAGCCACAAAAGAGGAAAATGCAGAACAGCTGCTTCTCCTAAGTTGTTTATGGTCAGAGAAAGAAGTAGGAACACAGGTTTCTCCTGTTACAATGTCACACCCCTCCCCCATGCTCCACCCTGTTTACCACTGGATATAAAAGACTCAATGAAGGAGGAAGCAAGGCTTTTTGCTTTTGGCTTTTTGATGTGGGAGGCTTTGGAAGGGAAAAGGATTGCTGAAGGGAAAACAAATTGCTGAAGGGAAAGTGCTGGAGGAAGATTGCTTAAGGGGGAAAATGAATTGAAGGATGGATTGCTGAAGGGAGGAGAATTGCTGGAGGAGAATTGCTAAAGGGGAATTGCTAGCAAGTCTGAGGGCGAGACGTTAAGAAAGTTAAAGAGAACTTTATACACAGGCTTTAGAAAAAAAGCTAAGCTAAAGAAAAGCCAAAGAGAACATACGACAGTGCAAGTTAAGGATGGAGACTAAGAGTTATGCATATGCAGTTTTTAGGTGTGGCTGTTGATGGTTGCAAGTCTGAGGCTTTAAGAAAGCTAAAGAGAGAACATGGGACAGTGCAAGCCTGGGGGCAAAGACTTTAAGAGAGATTTTGCTAAAGAACAGCTAAGAGAAAACATGGGACAGAGCAAGTCTCAGGAAAGAGACTTTAAAGAACAGAAAAGAAGACTTTAAAAGCAAGGTTTTAAGGAAAAGCTTTAGAAGCAAGGTTTTAAAGAACTGCAAAGGAGTAAGGCCTTAAAGAATAAAGATAGAGAAAAGAATCAGGGTTGTGTGTCTCCACTCAAGTGCCCAACACACCTGGCCCCAACTTTCTGTCTGTCTATCCTTTGTCTTTTCTGCACCTCTAGTCGCACCCAGTTAGCCCAAGTTAGGTTTGGTAATAACCAGGAGCGAAAAAAAGCTCACTCCAAGTCCTCCCACTGGTGAAGAGTGCTCAATGAAGGGATATGTGAACTGGAGCCAATAGCGACAGGAAAACAACCTGACCTCATTTTAGGACACCGGAACTGTGTCAAGTACCTTACATTCATCCATCGTCACATGTGACTTTTTTTACCAACCATGAGGGGGCAGCAGTATTCCCATTCTGCAGATGAGGAAATTGCAGCTTAGAGAGGGCAATGAATGACTCATCCAGTCACACACACAGGACTTGTACAGCTGACCATCACGCACGGAGCATATGGTGTGGCAGAGGGGTGGTACCTTCAAGTTGATCCACTTCTCCAGCACCCGCTTCTCATTGAACTGGCAGAGGAGGCCCGAATAGGACACACAGAAGGTATTCCCTGCCATTCGGCCCCGGCCGCAGGCCACACCACAGAAGATGTTGTTGTGCAGCTCACCCAGGATGCCTGAGCGTCCAACCAGCGGCACTGTGCCAGTCACCTGGAGGCAGAGTAGGGCACAGTGTTCATAAAGCTCAACCCCCAACAGGGCTATGATGGGCCCCTCACTGACATAGCGAAACAGGACAACTCTGAGAAACTCCCTGAAATGGAGAAGGAAGGAAAAGCAGAATGCATTTCTCGACAGAAGGGCTACAAGGTGCAGTCCAAGAATAGGGCATGGCCCCAGGGGCAGGGGGTCCCATCAAGGATTGCCAGTCAGTACCTGGACCCTTAAGAAGCGAGATAACCTCTGAGACCACTGACCCCAAGTCTCAGGTAGAAACAAGAGCTCATAATGCCACTCATCAATGACGAGAACTCACCTTTGCTTCAGTGGAGACTTCCAAGAACCAGAATCTCACATGCCGGTTCCCAACAGTGACAAAATAGCTGCTGTCCTCAGAGAAGGAGAGGGCAATGACCCTACATGATACCTTGTTGGAGGCCACCACGATGTCTTTCTGGAAGAATCAGTGCAGAGAGGCTCAGGCCCACCCCACCGGACTCTGTGCCTTGCCGTCAGCCCTGGTGTCCCTGCTCACCAATTTTTCTTAAGACCTTGCAGTGAGCTGCTCTCTGGGGAAACCTGTGACTCTTGTCATTCCTAACCTCCAGAGGAGGCAACATGGAAGGGTCTCCAGGTGAAATTAAGTTCCAGAGTTCTCCCCAAGGGTCCAAGCTCTACAGTCCACAAATGGTGTTGGGGTCACAGCTGGGAGGTAAGGACAGGATAACCTATGGTTGCTACAGATATGGGTCTTGCTTTGGGCCAGCCCTGACCTCTTCACAGGATAACCCATGGAATCTCCTCCAGTGCCCTCTGAGGGAGGCATTCTCTTCCACACTGCTAGGCTGATGGGGGAGGTTATGTGCTCAAGATCACATAGTAGGTTAGAGCCAGGACTTGGTATCCTCTTCGGTTGACTCCCAGCTACTCCAAAGCAGCTTCCCAGTGCATGGCAACTCACTGAAGTCTCACAACTCAATGAGGCAAGGAAACACACAGAGGCTAAACCAGCTATTCAAAGTCACAGCTGGTCAACAGAAAAGTAATCCTAGTAATTCCACTAGTTTAGACCTTGTCATGGGTCCTACAATAATGTTGGGCCCCACCTGCAACAAGGGCATAACAGCCAGAACTCTATGAGGTGACCTCAGAACAGAAGTCTCACAACCAGTCCAGCAGAACAGAAAGACAGAGGACATAGTATGTGCTCAATAAATATCTACTAGCTGAACGAAGACCATACCATGTTGTCTCATGCAGCTCCCTCAATGCTGGAGATTCAGATGCTCTGGCACCCTCAGCCCATGGCGCTTACCTTCCAGTCCCACACGTTGAGGACCATGTCATGCTGGTAGCCCATGGACACGATGTGCTTCATATTCGGTGAGAAGGCCACACAGGCCACACCATACTTGTGGCCCAGCATCTCTGACACCTGACTTTTCTCTTCCACATCCCAGATGCGCACGGCTGGCCTGTGCCCGTTCTGGGGAAGATAGGACCATTACTGCTGTGAGGCTGTGTACCAGACAGGACTAGAGAGCTGAACTTGACATTGCCAAAGGGTGTGCCCCAAACTACTTCCCCACTTGCCACAGGGCTTTTCTGGCCTAGGAGGGAGCCATTTCAGGGACTCTCAGGCCTACTAGGGGCAGAAGGAATGGCTCAAGACCCTCCCCACCTGCTCAGTCCTGATCATGACTCACCTCCCCTGTCACTATGTACTTCCCATCAGGGGAAAAGGCCAGAGCGCTCAGGGACTTCCTGGGGACAAAAAAAAAAAAAAGTTGATTGCTGGTTCCAAGGAGGGTGACTGTGTTCTCAGCACCAGGTCCACTTCTGGCTCCTAAGCCTGGAAAGAGGCCAGGAGAGACAAGTGTGAGTAGCTCCCACATAGTCAGTGTGGCCTGTGTGCCAGGCACAACACTCAGGGATAGAGGGTGAAAGCAAAGGCCTCTTCCTTCCAAAACATCAAACCCAAATGTGGCAGACAAAAGTATGGGATCCTGCTTTTCCCTCTGCAGAGGAGGGCTCCCTGAGACCTTACCTACCCTGTAGTTCTGAGAAACTCAGATACAGGAAATGGTATAGACGTGGCCTAACTAAAGGCACAGGGCTGGTGGGGGACCCTGGTAGACATCACACTGAGATAGCCTACAGAGTGTACTCTGTGGCTAAATGCTGAAGGTGTTCTGGAAAACCTATAAACAGCCAAAACCTTTCTCTCTGATACTCCTAGTTAGACTGCACCAGGACTGAATGACCAGATAAGCTGGCATGCTTTCTGGAAACAACATTCACCATTTCCAGATGGTATAGCTTTTCTTCTCCAACTCTTCCTTATCTTTTAATCCTGTTTTTATCTTTTTGTTATTGTTGTGTTTTTGTTTTGGTATTTTGAGATTGGATCTCACTATCTCAAAACAGGATGGCCTTGAATTCCACCACCATCCTCCTGTCTCAGCTTCCCAAGTGCTAGAATTACAGGTGTCTACCACCATGCTCCTGGCATAAGCTAGTCTTTGATAACTTCATCATCTTTGGCCTGTAACTGCTCTCTAGTGGCTTCTCTTTGCCCTCAGTATGATATTCAACCCCTTCCCAAGGCCCATGTGATATAGCTTCTGCCTGGTCCAGCCTCATCTTCCCTCCTGCCTGCTCCCCTGCTCCCAGCACTTGGGTCCATGGCTGCTCCTTAAACCACCGGATTCTTCACCACTGAAGAGCCTTTGCACTTGCTGTTCCTCCTTCACATGGGTCACCTGTTCAGTTCTCTCAGAGCCTTCCCTGAGTCCTCAGACACGGTCTTCCCCCATTTCCTACCCTAACATATCCTAACATATCCCCCATCATTGCTTCCATGGCACTGACCATGATCAGCTAGTAACTGGCTCACTGATTTATTACAGTCTGTTTCCCACACCAGGCTGTCAGCTAGAGAGCAGAAATTCTCATTTCCTCTGTTCATTGCTGTGTTGCCAGCACATGGAACAGTATGTAGCACCGAGCAGATAGAATGAACTTGACTACACTGATGGGTGAGTCACCCACCCGTGAACACCTACAGACACTGTGAGGAAGGAGGTATGTGCCAAGACCCTGCTCCCCCTACACCCTGCCCAGTCTACCTGGCAGTATTAAAGATGTGCTGTTGCTTGTTCTCCTTGGGGTTCAAAATCACCACCACACAGCTGGAAAGAAAGAAAAAAGTGTGTCTAAACTCAGAAGGAAACAGGTAACACTGGGTCCAGGGATGATTCTGTCCATCCAGAAAAGCCCACATCAACAAGGATCCCTCTGATCAAAAGAGTCTCTTTCTGGTCTCCTCCTCCAGAAGTTTATGCTGAGAATTCTAAGGCCTGTAACATATTAGCATATTATCTTTTTTTACTTTATTTATTCATTTTGTACGGTACTAGGGTTGAACTCAACCTTGCACTTGTTAGGCAGGCGCTCTACTGCTTGTGCCACACCTCCAGCCCTACATTCTCACACAGAACAACATCTCGTTCTTGGAAACTGTTCTGTCAGGCCCTAGGCTTTATGGCCATGATCTCTAAATCTTCACAACTGTCAGGCCAGGTCAGGACTCTTTTGGTCCATCTTACAGATGAGAACTGAAGGCCAGAGAGATATCCTTTGCTCAGGTCACCCAGAAGGTCAGGAACAGAGCAGGAACACGACTCCACTCCTGTCAGATTTAAGAGTCCACCCTTGCCCTCTATCTGGAACTGCTTCCCCAAGTCTCAATAGCAAACACTGATCATTAGTATGGAAATTACTCTGGGTCTGCTCTGCCCTGCCTTTCTGGAGAGGTCCCTTTGGTGCCTAGAACCATGCTTGGCTAGGTCAATATTTCTGGAATAAACCGCTAGTGAATCTCCTTCAGTCCTCTCATCTACCACTAGGTAGAAGCAGAGACTCTGAGAGGGGCATACATGGTAGAGCTGGATGCAAATGTAGGTTATTTGACCCACAGATTGGGTTTTAACCACCTGAGTTTTCCAGAATCACTGCCACCTCCCATTTGCAGTCATGATTACGGTTTTCATAGCTCCCACTCCATGCCAGGTACTGTTCTAGACACAGATGCACCTGTGGAATCCTCTCCACAGCTCCCAGAGGTGGCAGCACTACCTACATTCAACAGATGGCAAAACTTAGGCTCACTGAGATTCGGGCTGCAAATTCCCTCACAATACTTAAGATGCCAAGGCTCCCCCATGTGCTTACCCTGCGAGATAGGCCACATGACCAGTGCCAGGGTCACAGGTTAGGCCACTGCTATTCTGGGCTGTGATGCCAAGTACCTTCTCAAGTGACACCTGAAAAGAAAAGGCCCAAGTCAGAAGTACCTACCCTAGCAAGCCCCTCATGGCATAGCCGCCTCAGTCACTCGTACTGCATTCAACACACACTCACTGAGCTTCTGCAGTCATGCTGCCCACAGCAGCTAATGCTCCTTTGCCAGCATTGCCAAAAAACAAATACAAAGGGCTAGGTGGGGAAGACAGACAAAAATTCCTGTCCTCCTAGAGCTCATATTCTAGTGGTGATTGAGGTGGAGGATATAGAAAAGGAATAGAACAAATATACAAAATAGATGTCTGGTGATGACAGAGACAATAATGAAAAATGAAGCAGGGAAAGAAATTGGGGAGTACAGAGAAAGGGAGGCTGCCACAGTGACCATGTGACCTTAGAATCCATTTCTCAGTACTTTTATATGGATCAAAGACTTGAACCCTCCCAAAACTCCTGGAAGAAAGCACTGTAAAACCTCTATTTACAGATCAGGACACCAAGACCCAAGATCTTGCACCTGAGAAGTGGCAAGGTTGGGATGCAAACACAGGCGATCTAGCTTCAAAGCCAGCACTTTGGGCCCTATAGTGGAGACAGCATTGAGCAAAAGTAGGCACTGTTTCCGCATCATTTTTTGGCCTAGAAGTTCTAGAGGTTTCAGTAAGAAACAAGAGGACAGTCACATTTAAAAATATTAAAAGTCACAGCAAAGTTAAATGTGGCAGACCACATCATGATTAATTAAACAATTTATATTGTTGGTACACACTAACAAAAGTGTGATATTTTCACATTTTAAGTATGTTTGTAATTACTATAGAGTAAAATATCCTCAAGCAAGTCACTGTCCTCACAACTGAAAGGCAAGCATAGGTATAAAATAGCTAATATTTATTAAGCATTTATCAGGAGCCAGGCACCATCAAATACCAATAACTGTATTAACTTACTCAATGTTCACAATAACCCTATGATACAGTCATCATCATCACCCCATTTCTCAAATGAAAAAACAAAAGCCCAGAGAGGCTACCCATCCAGGAAGGAGCAGTGCCAGGATTCTGACAGACAACCAAGCAATCGCACGCATGCTGTTTCATGTGCCAATCAGAATCACTGAGTATTAGTATAACCGGTCATTTTTAGATTAGGTCTTTTCCAAGCCAGATGTCTCTACGCTGTGCTGCCAAACAAGAAAAATAAACGACATTACCCAAGATACAAACAATAATGACAGTATTAGCTAACACTAATAGAGTACTTGCAAATGTGTCAGGTGTCATTCTCAATGCTTAAGATATGTGAAGCAGCTGGGCACCAGTGACTCATGCCTGTAATCCTAGCTATTTAGAAGGCTGAGATTGCAAGGATTTAGACTCAAGGTCAGCCTGGGCAAGTAGTATGCAAGACCCCACCTCCAAAATAACCAGAATAAAATGGACTGGAGGTATGGCTCAAGCTGCTTTGCAAGCATGAAACTCGAGTTCAAACCCCAATACCACCAAAAAAAAAAAAAGTGAACTAATATAATCCTCACAAATACTGTATGAGGGAGTGCTACATCATTTTCAGTTCACAGATGGGGAAACAGAGGCACAGAAAAGTTCCTAACTTGCTAGGACAAACCCAATGTTTAAACCCAGGCAGTCTACATCCAGAAGCTGTACTCTTAACATATCCTGCTGTAATATGCTTCTCTGTATTTGCTACTGTTACTCTACTACATGCAAAGTTTAAGAGCTCACAAGACACTCTAAGGAACACAGGAGGATTATGAATACAGGGCACTAGTGAGAGACTGAGTGGGTGTCTGCTTTAGATTGGGATTCAGGAAAACCTCTCAAGGAAGGAATATTCTGGCTGGGACTTGAGGGATGGTAAGGAACCAGTCCCACACCTGCAGCAAAATGCCCAGTTAGTCACAGGACTCACCAAACACAAAGTCTAGGAGGTGGAAAAGAACTTGGAGCTTCAGGAAAACAGAAAGTAGGCCAGTATGAATGCACCTTGGTGAGAGGGAGGACCTGGAGAGAACAACCAGGAAAGAGAGCAAAGGCTACATGCCCAGAGCTCTGCAGCCAGGAATGGACAATACAAACAGGCAGCAGAAAGCCACCAAGCAGGGATCCACTATCAGCTCCCATGCGTGTACACTTCTTCTGGACTCTGTGTGCAGGAAGGGCACAGTAACAACTTCCTCTCCCTCCAACGCCATGGTATAGTTATCTCCATTTTATGAAAACAGACTTTGTGTCTAGGGAATTAGAGAACAATTTTTAAAATTGCTGCTGGCTAATGGGATTCTTCCTACCTACTCCAAAATCATTTCCTTTCTGTGCTCCTGTGTCTAAGAATTTAGGAAACGGTTCAGTAAGCCCTCCTCCCAGGCAACGCTGCTGAGATTTTACAAATAATTATTCGCATCTTCCCCAAAGTTCTGAATGAAATTAGTGGGGGAAAAGGAAAGAGAAGGCAGGACTGAGAGAAAGCAGGGTAGACCTAAGGAAGAATGGGGCAGGTAAGTGAACCAGCAGGAGCGAGGTCGACGAAGTAAAAGGATCTGTGCAAAGGTCTAAATAGCGGCTGAGTGGGGCTTAAGCTATATCCAGGAAGACGTGACTAGGCGGAAATTGGTAAAAGCAAAACGCTTTCCACAACATTGGAACCACAGGATTTAATGCTTGGGGTGGAGCCAAGAACGACGGGCGACACCTAAGAGAAGAGGTGGGGAAATGGGCGGAGCCTTGGCTAAAGGGCGGGGCTAGGGAGCAATCTAGGGGGGAAGCCGGGGGCTGGTGGGCGGGGCCGGGGGCGGCCCCGGGAAGCCTGCCAGGAACCGGGTAGGCAGAGCGAGCAGCTCCTCACCCGGTTATTCACTGTGTCCTCCGGCGCTGACGAGAGTCGCGTCCGCCGCCGAAGGCAGAGCGGTGGGGCGGGAGGCGGGGAGGACTGGGTTCTCCGCGCTGGAACTCCCACCATGACAGATGGCAGCTTCTCGACCGCATCGTTCCGCGCGTAGCCTCCTGGCCCCAAAGCCGCCATCATCCCGCCGGAGACCGGCGACCGTTAGGCTTGTTAACTGCCGCAGCCCGTAGGACCCACTCAAATAGCGAATGGCCGCGGGAAAATCCGGCGCCGCCGCTTATTGGACGCGGCGGGCCACTCGCCTGCCCAATCTCGAGGCAGCCGGGTGCGCTCATGACCAATGGGAGCTAAGAGGCGGAGCCAAAGTAGGTGGGGGCCACAGCTAATTCTTCTTGATGCATGACCTAGGGTGGAGTTTCTTCTCGTTCGTGTTTTCCTCATTCATTGAAACACTGGTTTTAGCTTATTTTTAGCCTCCTCACCTCGCCTTTGACACTACCCGGGCGACTATTTGCGCTCAGTGGCCCGGATGTAGGTGAGGGCGGAGCGCAGGCGCAGAAACAACATGACGTCACATCTACCCCAACACGTGATGAAGGTTAGGGTGGCGAAGAGCCGGCTTTACGCAATTGTATTCGCTTTTCCCCATCCGCCACCACGTGACAGGGCGTAGCTCTGGAAACGCAGCGGGGCTCCTTGTACGCAGGCGCCTGGAGCATTCCCCCATCACGTGACAAAACACCGAGGGCGTCATGTGAGGCAGGCAGAGAGCGCGCGGGCGGGGCGGGATTCGGCGGAGCCCTACAAGGACCAAAGTGCAGCCGCTGGCACAGCAAAACTCATCGGGGTTGGTCAGCCATGCCTAAGTATTGCAGGGCTCCGAACTGCTCCAATACTGCCGGCCGACTGGGTGCGGACAACCGCCCAGTGAGCTTCTACAAGTGAGCACAAGCGCGGAGCGGGGCGGGGCTTGAAGAAGGCGGGGTCCTGGGGGGCGGTGCCCAAGGGAGGTGGGAGCCTGGGGCGGAGCCTGAGGGGGCGGGGCCCTGGGAGGGGCGGGGCCCAAGGATGAATGCAGCTGTGCAGGCCACCTGGTCCAACTTGAGTCTTTAGGACGTCGGAATTGAAAGGTTCTTAGATAACTGACTACAGGTACTGAAGTGGCACTGCTTATTTGACTACTGCTTTTTTTTTTCTTTTTGGAGGGGCTGGGGTATGAACTCAGGGACTCATGCTTGTTAGGCAGGTGCTCTACTGTTTGAACCATTCTTCCAGCAGACTACTGCTTTCTTACTGGGAAGGTTTGTTGTCTAAAATCAGAGAATATCACAAACTTTGCTGTTTGAAATTATATCAGTAAGAATTAAACGTCTCAATTTTGCGTAAGTTACTTTGACACAGAAAAGCAGCTTTCATTTACAGTCTAGGTTCAAAGCTTAAGAAAGAGGTTTCTGAACACAGTATTCCAAGTCAGTGTAAACTTTATTGTCTCCAAAGAGACAGGAGCCTGGGCCCACTTCACAGTGTAGACCTGATATCAGCCTGTTGACACAGTTCTATTTGCTTCAAGCCTATTCAAACAAACACTGCTTCATTTACATTTCACTTGATTTTGCTTTTTCCCTGAACCCAGATAACTCTCTTCCTTTGTTGGATGAGACTCCCCATGGTATCTCTGGCATTCAGGCTTCCTCATTGCCGTGGTAAATAAACCTGAACTCGTTGGACTACAGGTTTGTCCCTGGTGGTCTTAGCACAAGTGAGTTAGGACACAGTACTGGAGATTGAACCTAGGTTCTCACACATGCTAAGCAAGCACTCTACCACTTGAGCCACACTCCCAATCCAATATACAGTCATCTTGCAGGACACATTTTGGCCTCAAAGTTGGAGTTGTGTTGGTGAGGAGAAAGAATGGATATTGGAGTAGTCAGTTGACAGGCCCTTGTCCAGCAGAGAATAGGGAGGGAGGGTGCAGTGGCAATGGGTCCTATGTTTATGTCCAGGAAGAATAAGGGCTGGTGAGGACATTTGGATCTCAGACGGACTGTGACATCCAGATTCCCTGGCTGTGTGCCCTGGGATTCTGCTATTCTGAGTCAGCCCTTCTGTTCTCTTACCACCTGTCTCCCTCTGTCTCCATTGTCTGAGAAGTCTGATTCCCTTGTTTCTGTCCAGCCCATCCACCTCCGTTGCCTCTGTAGTTTTTTGTGTGTCCTTCCCATCATTTTTTTTTTTTTATGGTACTGAGTGTGAACTCAGGGCCTACACCTTGAGCCACTCCACCATCCCTGTTTTCTCTTTTTTTTTTTTTTTTTTTGAGATAGGCTTCAAACCATAATCCTCCTGATCTCTGCCTCCTGAGTAGCTAGGATTACAGGCATGAGCCACTGGTGTCTGACTCCCTTTGTTTTTTTATGCAAGCAAATTTGAATATATGCTCTTATTTTCCCCCTTGACAAACAGTATTAATTTCCTTTGGCTGCTGTAACAAATTTGGTAGCTTAAGACAATAAGTTATTCTCATTTCTGGAGGCCAAAGTCAAAATCAATTTTACAGGGCCAGGAAGAATGGGATTCTTACAGGGAATCTGTTCTTGTCCCTTTCAGTTTCTGGTAACTGCAGGCATTCCTTGTCTTGGGGCCACACCCCTGTAGTCTGTAGCTCCATAGACACATTACTTTCTCTTTTGTCCATGGTACATCTTCCCCCTCTATAAAGACACTTGTGATGGTGTTTAGGGCCAACCTAGGTGTTCTAGGACATTTCCCGTCTCACGATCCTTATACCACAGTTCCTAAAAGCTAATATACTCTATTAGGAACCTTGGTTTTTTTCACATATTATATGCCTCAGTTCATAGAAAGCATCCATAGTCAGTTTTACAGCTGTGTCGTATTCTTTCCAGTGATGTGCCTGAGTCTATTTATCCTGTCTCCTAGGTGGTATTTTCTCTTCTAGCACTCATCGCTCTTACCACTTTTTTTTTCTTTTTTTCTGGTGCTGGGGATGAACAGAGGGCCTTGTGCATGCAAATGCTGTACCCCTGAGCTACCTCTCCAGCCCCATTCCTCCTTTTTTTTTTTGGTGTGGGGGGCAGGACTTGGGTTTGAACTCAGGGAGGGCCTTATACTTGCTAGGCAGGCACTTTACCAATTGATCCACTCTGCCAGTCTTTCTTTATGTTGGGTATTTTTGAGATAGGGCCTGGCAGACTGTTTCCCTGGGCTAACCTGGAAACACAGTTCTTCCGATCTCTGCCTCCTGAGTAGTTTAGGATTCTAGGCATGAGCCATCAGTACTTGTTTTGTTTTGCTTTTGTGGTACTGGAGTTTGAACTCAGGGCCTACACCTTGACCCATTCCATCAGCCCTTTTTTTGTGAAGGGTTTTTTTTTCAAGATAGGATCTCTCAAACTATTTGCCCAGGCTGGCTTTGAACCGAGATCCTCCTAATCTCTGCCTCCTGAGTAGCTAGGATTACAGACGTGAGCCACGGACGCCCGCCCTCAGTGCCTTTGTTTTGTTTTGTTGGCAGTACTGTGGTTTGAACTCAAGGCCTTGAATTTAGTAGGCAGGTACTCTACTGCTCAAGCCGCACCCCCAGTCCCCTGGGGTTTTTTAGAGTATTTTTAATACTTAAAGTTGGTTAATTTTATGAAACATGTTAAAGAAATGATATCATAGATATGGAAAACATTGTGAAGGTCCCCATGCATGACCGGCTGCATTAGTTATCTAGTACCACATGACAAATTATCTCCAAATTCAGCAGCTGAATCACAGGTACTGGCAGCTGCCCCAGGGTAGACAAGCCAGAACTTAGTTACTTGGCCATGTCTGGCTGCAAATGAGGCTGGAAAATGAGGCTTTTATTGTGGGTAGCCTTGAGCCCAGGTGTAAACACAGACTTATTACTATGTAATGGAGCAAGAACAGATGTTGGGGACAAGTGGCACCAGGAAGAAGAAACAAGATGGAGCTTTTAGGTGGTACCTGAGGGGAAAATCCTCACCCACTCCCACTGAGAAACCTTTTACTTAGCTCTGCTTTTTTTTAAGTTTATTTTGAGAAAAGGTCTTGCTCAGGCTGGCCTCAAACTCATGATTCTACTGTCTCACTTTCCCAAGTGCTGGGATTATAGGTATGCCCACATAGTTTTTATCAAAATGCTTTTTTAAATTAAAAAATTGAATCTATTTAGAGTATTCAGAATGTCACTAAAACAGCTGCAACTTCTTTTTTTTAATCTTTTTCTTTCGGCAGTACTGGGGTTTGAACTCAGGTCCTCAGGTTTGGTGGGCAGGCTCTCTACCATTTGAGCCACTCTATCAGACCTGTTTTTTGAGTTGGGATTTTTTTTTTTTTTTAGCTAGGGTTCCGAGAACTATTTTCTGGGGTGGTTTTGAACTGCCATCCTCCTGATCTCTGCCTCCTGAGAAGCTAGGATTATAGGCCTGAGCCACTGGTGCTTGGCTAACTTTTTTTTTTGAGAACTAAGGAGTCTTACTTAGTTAACAGAACAATTATTTTGTATAAGCTTCATCAGAGACAACTGAACATGAAAAAAGCAACTTGTCCGGTGCACCAAGAAGAACATGTTTTGACTTTCTCTGCCAGCTTACAACCCCACACTGTACCAGGCAGGGTTAGTTGCTATTGAAAATACCACCAGAAAAAAAGAAAAAGAAAATACTGTAAAGAAGACACTGCACAGTTTAAAAACAAATCTTACATAACCCTACATTACAATTATTTTCTTCTCTTTTTGTTTGGGGGGTGGATGGGACTGGGGTTCTAGTTGTTTCCTTTAAAAGGAGTAAAATGTATAGAAGGGAATTAAATGCCTTGCAGACAAGACAAATACTGTGCTGGAACCAACTTACATATTGTCATCCTCCTCCTCTTTGTCTTCCTCCTTTTTCTTTCTGTTTTCAGCCTTGATGACTTCCTTTTCCATTAGCTTGGGGTGTATCAGTATCCTTTTCATATTTTTCCTTCTGAAAGGAAGGCTACTTGTCGTCCACAGTGGGCTTGTTCCACATTCTTCCAGTTTCCCAATGTCACCAATGACCAGGCCTGAAGGTTCTCCTTTGATTTGGAAGCAATACTCAGAACAGAACAAGAAGGCTAAGAGAAGCCTCTTTGGTGCATTGGGGTCCATGAATGTTTATTTCGCCTGAGGAGAGATACAGATTTTCATTATTTCATAATGGGCCTTGTCAGCTTTTTCTATGTCTTCAAATTTCTCTTCTCTTCCTCCTCTCTAATTTTTGTTGTTTCTGTGGTTTGAGACAGGGCCTCACTTTATAGCCCAGGCTGGTCTCAAACTCACCATCCTTCTCTCTCAGCCTCCCACCTCCTGAGTGCTGGACCATGCTGCAGACATGGGCCTCTACCTCTCTGAGCACTTCTTAGAAAACTCCGAGGAATGGTGCTTCTTGTGCTCCTTCTGGAAAGTTAGCACAAAAAATGCACATGCTGACATTTTGTCTAGCGGCTTCTTAGGATCTCTTTTGTCCTAATGTTTAGTTATTTCTCACTGCCCAGTGCCCATCGAGCTCTCACTTGCCCCAGTGCTGTCTCTGTGGAGCTCGGTATACTACAGTAGCTGTCTAAAATGTTTTTAACTTTTTATTTTTAATTGTAGTGTAATATATATTACATAAAATGTACCATCTTAACCATTTTAAGTGTACGGTAATTGTAAATATATTCATGTTGTGCAACAGAGCTCTAGAACTTTTTTATCTCATGAAAAAGTTAAGCCAGATGTGGTGGCCTCTGCTTGTAATTCCAGCACTGGGGATGCCGAGGCAGGAGGAACATTGGAAGTGAAGTTGAAGGCCAGTCTGAGCTGCAAAGAGAGACTGAGTCTCAAAAACAAAAACTAAACAAATTGGGAATTGTTCTGTCTCCACTGAAAAGTCCCTCTTTCTCCCCTCTCCAAGCGCCTAGTGAGCACCATTTTACTTTCTGTCTCTGTGAGTTTGACTACATAAGGACCTCAGTAAAGTAGGATCATCAACATTTATCTGTTTGTGACTGGCTTATTTCACTTACTGTAACAGCCCCTGAGGTGCATCTGTGTTGTGGCATCTGTCAGAATTTTTCCCTTTTTAGGGCTAAATAATACTCTACTGCATAGACATTCATTCACATGTATTCATTGCTTATTCATTCACGTATCCATTGACTCTTCCATTTTTGGCCACTGTGAACTAAGTAAGCTCTTATCAACATGGTGTGCAAAACCTGTTAGTTCTTTGGGGTAAAGTACTCGGAAGTGTGGGGTTGGTGGCAGTTGAGTGCCTGCCTAAGAAGCATGAAGCCCTGAAGCCCTAAGTTCAAATACCAGTGAAACAAAAACAAACAAACAAAAAAGGGTAAGAATATTATATCACTCCCAAATTTTGAGCTGGTGAAGTGGCTCAAGTGATAACAGCACCTGCCTAGAAAGCACCAGGCCCTGAGTTCAAATCCTAGTGCTGCCAAAAAAACCACCCCCCCCAAAAAAAACTTGTTAAGTGATGGCTCACACCTGTAATCCCAGCTACTCAGAAATCAGGTGGATCTCTGGTTAAAAGCCAGCCTGAGCAAATAGTTTGAGAGAACTTATCTCAAAAAAAATAAACCACAAGAAGAGCTGGTGGAATGGCTCAAGGTGTAGGCCCTGAGTTTAACTCCCCACTGCAAAAAAAACAAAAAACAAAAAAAAAACAAGAAAGAAATGCAAGTGCTAGATCATTTGGTCGTTCTGTTTTTAATTTTTTTGAGGACCTGCACACTGTGTTCCATAATGGCTAACACCATGTTACATTGGCAACAGCCCACCAGGGTTCCATTTCGCTACATCCTAACACTTACTGTTTTGGGTTTTTTTCAGTTGCTCTTCCAGTGGGTGTGGGGTAACATTTTGCCATGGTTTGATTTGCATTTCCTGAATGATTCCTGATCCCAGCATGTTTTCACATGTTTGTTGTTCATTTGTATACCTCCTTTGCCCATTCTTAAAATCAGGTTATTTGCTTTTTGTTGTTGAGTTGTTAAAATCTTTTTTAACAGGGCTGGAGGTGTGGCTCAAGCAGTAGAGAGCCTACCTTACAAGTGTGAAGCCCTGAGTTCAAACCCCAGTAACACCAAAAAGAAAAAGAAAAACTTTTAATAGTTGTTTTCAAACATACACACATAGGTTTGTATGACTCATGTATCACTGTTTCACCAGATACATTTTGGTAATCTTTTTCACTGTCCCACCCCCTGCACCTTTGAATTTTTTGTTCTGTAATATTTTAAATCCCAGACCTCACATCTTTTACCTGTAACATTTTTAGGATGTTCTCCCAACAGAAGACTGTTTTAGAAGCATAAACAATACAATCATTACATTCAGCAAAATTAATTTTTAACAATTATGTAATCTGCAGTTTATTTCTCTTTTCTCCAGTTGTCTTAAAATTGACTTTTTACAGAATTGTTGCCATGTGACTTTGGGCTGATGATTCTTAAATCTTACTCAGTAACTCGCACCCTTCCACTCCTGTGTTTTGACTGGACTGCAGAATCTTTCATTCTTGATGTCTGGTTTTATGAACTGCTCCCTCAGGTCCACGGGCAGAAACAGATTAAAGGGTCGAGTGTAGCCAGAAAAATGAGGAAGGGGCTGCTACCCGAGACCTGCCAGGAGGATGTGTGAGAGGGGCCCACGCTGGAGGTTTAGCAGGTGGAGCTCAAGAGTGCCAGGGTGCCGGTGGCTCACGCCTGTAATCCCAGCTACTCGGGAGGCAGGGATCAGGAGGAGTGGGGCTGGAAGCCAGTCCTGGCAAGTAGTTCTCAAGACCCTATCTCGAAAAAACCTTTCACAAAAAGGGGCTGGTGGAGTGGCTGACAGTGTAGGCCCTGAGTTCAAGCCCCAGTATGGCAAAAAAAAAACCCAAAACCGTGTGAAGTAGAGAAAGGCTAAGGAGGAGGGGACAGCAGAGCCAATTTGGCCCAGGGGACGCCCAGGCTTGGAGTCCAGGGGCCTCGGGTGTGGCTGTGGTCGGGAAGGGGCGGATGGGGCTGTGTGGTGCTGACCCGGCCGCCTGCAGGTTCCCTCTGAAGGACGGTCCGCGGCTGCAGGCCTGGCTGCGGCGCATGGGCCGGGAGCACTGGGTGCCCAGCTGCCACCAGCACCTGTGCAGCGAGCACTTCACGCCCTCCTGCTTCCAGTGGCGCTGGGGCGTGCGCTACCTGCGGCCCGACGCCGTGCCCTCCATCTTCTCCCGGGCGCCGCCCGCCAAGGTGAGCGTGGGGAGAGGGGTCCCTCCCCTCCTGAGGGACGCCCTATGGGGTCCGCCCTCACTGCTCCCCGGCCTTGTCTTCCAGAGCTCGCGGCGGAGCCGAAGCGCCGAGAAGCCGCTGGCGCCGCCGCCTCCTCCCGCGCCCGAGGCTGCGCCCGGGTCCCCGGAGCCCGCGGGCGCGGCCGCTGGCCCCGTGCAGGTCGTGGTGCTGGCGCCCACCTCCGCGAGCCCCGAGGCCGCGGCCACCGTGCTCCTGGCCCCGTGCCCGCCGCGCCAGGCGCCGGAGTCTCGGCGCAGTCCCCGCGGGCCGGGCTGCGGGCCGCGCTTGGGGCGCTGCAGCGGCGGGTGCGGAGGCTGCAGCGGCGCCACGAGCGGCACCAGGCGCAGCTGCGGGCGCTGGAGCAGCTGGCGCAGCAGCTGCGCAGTGACAGCGCGCGGGCGCGAAGGGGTCCGCCGCGCGTGGTGAGTGCCCGGGGCCGCCGGGCCTTTCCCGCCTTGGGGACTGGGGGTGAGGCGCAGTGGCAGAGCGCGGATCCCCAGGCTCAACCTGCAGCATCGCAAGGAAAAGCAAAATCTGGCCAGTGCAATGCCGCCAAGAACTGCTGGTCAGAGATGAGCGACAGCTGCTGCCTTATGAGTGATACTTTAGAGAGCTCCTCTTACCCTCCAGTCACAGGGACTTACTGAAAAAGCACTATGATCTTGATACCGCTATTGTCCCCATTTCCAGATGTAAAAACCGAGGCATAGAAGGTTCCAGTAATTTGCCCGAGGTCAGACAGCCAGTAAATTACAGTCATTACTCAAACCCAGGTGCGCGGCTGCAGAGGCGATAGGAGCTCCCGTTGCAGGCTCCCGTTGCAGGCTCCCTGCCTGACCCTTTCAAGCCTGAGGTTGCAACTCTCCCACTAGTGCCTCCCAGGCCCTATATTTTACTGCAGGGGTGCTTAGAACCCCAGAGCAGAGTTGAGGTCCCTAACCGAGTGCCCATGCCTTTCAGCCCCACCTGTATGGGAGGCCCCTGCAGTTATGGGCGCTGGGCTCACGGGAGTTCAGAAAGGCACCCCCACAGTACCCCTGAGTACTGAGATGTCTCAGTTAACGACCAGATTAAGATTTGGTTGAAAATAAACAAAAAAGGGCTGGTGGAGTGGCTCAAGTGGTAGCGAGCTTGTCTGGGAAGCATGAAACCCTGGATTCAAAGGCCAGCACTGCCAAAAGAAGTAACTTCTGTTTTTTTTCTGAAGGTCGAGGAGATCTGGCTTTGCTGGGGTCATGTTTAGGGCAATAGCAGTTAGCTGGTGTAGCAGTGTGACTGCTGCTGGGGAGGGGGGCAGGGAAGGGGGGAAGTAGGGCTGGGACAGAATTCAAGCTTAGGCCTGGGGCTGTCTGTGGAGCCTGCCAGGCCCCTGAGCTAACAGTGTCTCTCTCTGCCTCTCTTGTCTCCACTCAATCCGTGTCTCCTCTCATTCCTGGCTCTCCATCTCATTCTCTCTGCCACATTGTCTTTTTGCCCATCTCTCTGTTCCCCCATCTCCCTGTGTTACCCATGTCTACCACTTCATGCCTGGATGGCCCAGCTGCCTGGACCCAAGGAATCCCAAACCTTCATCATCTGTGGAGGGCCTGACATAGCCGTGGTCCTTGCCCAAGGCCCTGCACCTGCCACCCTGGATGCCAAACCTGAGCTCCTGGACACCCAGACACCCAGTGCATAAGTGTTGGGATGGATAGTGCCAAGGGACTGAAGACAGAAGACGGAAGAAGAGAGATAATCACACCTGGTCTTGGCACAACCCCACCATTTATATTTGGGGAGGAGTGCTGGCTACCACTCCTATGGACCCCTTTGAATCATATGGGTGACCTGGGTCCAAGTGCCCCTCAGCCCTCACCCCCCTCCCTCATCCCTCTGGGTACCCAGCTCCTGCCACTCCCAGCTCACATCCTTGCAGTCAGGAAAGCCTCAGCAGAACAGGGCTCACTTGTTGGAGGAGTGCTGGGCTGGTTTCTGAAGGGCCTTTGGCACCATGGGCTAAGCCTGCTACCAAGAAGGACGTGATAGTGAACACAGCCGAAATATCCCTGCCCTTATGGTGTTCACATTCCCCTCTAGAAGGTGAATAAACCCTATCACTTCAGACTGTGGCACGTGTTCTAAAGACTGGGTAAAAAATGTCACAGAGTGGTGGGAGGCTCTCCAAGGAGGCAGCATTTAAGCAAACCCTGAATGATGAGGCCAACCCTTGAGGGCACGTGGGCCAGTACTCAGGGGCAAGAATAGCCCTGAAGAGGCCTCAGAGTCAGGAAGGCAGTGTTGTTCTGTAGAAAACCAAAGTGAGGAAGGGGGTAAGGGCAAGGTTGCCATTTTTATTAGGGAGAGCAGAGATGGTGTTTAAAAAACACAGATGAGTGAGATCCTAGAAGAAGGGAGAGGAGACCACATAGGTATCTAGGGGAGAGCTTCTAGGAGCAAGGAACAGCCAGAGAACAGGCTGTTGTGGCTCCAGCAAGGAGGCTGGCATGGCTGGAGTATAACAAGCAAAGGGGAGGATGAGCCCGTGGCTCACACCAGTAATCCTAGCTATTCAGGAGGCAGAGATTATTCCTGAGACTCTTTATCTTGAAAAAAATCCTTCACAAAAAAATGGCTGGTACAGTGGCTTAAGATATAGGCCCTGATGAGTTGAAGCCCCAGTACAACAACAACAAAAAAAACCCAAAAAAAAGGCGGGGGAGGGCAAAGGGGGCAAGTTTATGTAGGGCCACAGCTGAGAGCCCTGGCTTCTACCTGGAGCAAGGTGCAGCAAGCAGATACTTGAGGAGGAGGGCCTTGACGTGACAGGTGTTAATAGGACCTTGTGGCTGCATGAGGGCAGCAGAAGGGTGGGCGGGGGCAGGTAGAGGCACAGGGAGAACAGAGAGCAGACTGCTGCCATAGTCTAGGTGGGAAATGCAGTATAGACCAGGGCCTGGGATGGGGGTGGGGGTGAAATTCTAGAAACACCTTGGAGCTACTGGGCCTGCACGTTAGAATGATGAGAGGTGGAAAGCAGTCACCTAGGCCAGGGTGATTTGGAGCAGCTTGAGCAACAGCCAGCTGGGCTGAGTCAAGGCCCTGGGCTGGCTCCAAGAGGCCTTCCTGGGGGCACACAGGTTCTGAGAGTTCATTGACAGATCTGTACCATAGACACTGCTACTGTGGGCTGGTGGTTAAGAGACTCCACTGGCAGGGCACCAGCGACTCATGCCTGTAATTCTAAACTCAGGAGGCAGAGATCAGGAGGATCATGGTTCAAAGCCAGCCTGGGCAAACAGTTTGCAAGACCCTATCTCAAAAAATCCTTTCACGAAAAAGGGCTGGTGGAGTGGCTCAAGGTGTAGGCCCTGGGCTCAAGCCCCGGTACCGTCAAAAAGAAAGAAAAAAAAGAGCTCTACTATACAGACGTGTAGCTTGATTATGAATCAGATTCTGCATCACCTACTTTGTCTGCTCCAGTGAGAAAGCCGCTTAACCTCTCTGGGCCTGAGTGAGTGCTGGGTGAGCGCTGTATGATGATGGTAAGGGTGAAAATATACAGAATCACTCCTCCGGGACCCCGTTATAGGACGATCATGGACAAGGGGTCAGGGCTGAGGTCCTGGAGGGTGGACAGACCACTGCCCTAACTGGCCTACATGCAGGCCTGGGGTTGGATCCCCTAGGTGCGGATGGACAGGAGACCTGCGCCCGCCTTCCCATGCCTCTCTTTTGCCGCTGTTTCTGCTCCAACTCTCCGGTCCCGGTGCGGCTCACATCCTTTCCGGGTCCTCGGCTTCCATCCCTTCCCGACCCGGCCCCTGGCGCCTCCATCCACGCGCGCCGCCTGGAGGCTTCTCCTCCCCCGCGCGTGGCCACGGCGCATGCGCCGCCAGCGCCCCTCCCTCCTCTCCACCCCCACCCCCGTGGGCGTCTGGGCCTCGTCCCCTTCTCTCTGTCTCCCTCTTCTCCCCCACCGCGTCCCCCGACAGCGACACCCCATTGCTCCCGCGGTCTCCTCCGTCTCAGCCTTGGTCTCCATCCTGGTCACCCCGACCCCAGGTAAGATGCGAAGAGGGAGGCCGGTGAGAAGGGGAGGGGCGAAGCATCCTGCATCCTGAGATAAACAAACCCCGGGAGGGGGCGGCCGAGACCGTGGGCCTCCCCGGGAACCTGACCGGGGAGAAGAATGGGGGGCCGGGCCTGGGGCAGGGGGCAGGCGCCAGCCTCATATCCTCAGGCCCTCTGATGGGTAACGGGGGTCCCTCTGGTTGCCCAAGATTGGAGGGGGGGGCGGGGGCCATCCCAGGCCCTAGGAGCTTCTGGGGACTTGGACCCCGGAGCCTGTGGGGCGCTCTATCTGACCCCTGCCTCCAGGATTTGCCTGCACGCCGCCCCCAACTCTGCACCCGCCCCCCTGAGAGCCACCGAGGACCATGACTAAGACAGATCCTGCCCCAATGGCCCCTCCGCCCCGAAGGGAGGAGGAAGAAGAAGAGGAAGAGGACGAGCCTGTCCCCGAAGTCCCTAGTCCCACCCAGGAGCGCCGCCAGAAGCCTGTTGTGCATCCCTCAGCACCTGCCCCCCTCCCCAAGGACTACGGTAACCCGTGTCCCCACCCTGGTATCTGGTTAGAAGCCTTGGGTAGCCACGGACGGGTGGGCTGAGGACTGCTAGTTGTGATGGTGGGAGGATTCTGGAGGCAGTCCAAAGGACTGTCAGCTGAGGGCCCTTTTGACCTCCCCACTTTAATTAATTTCATTCACATATTGAATGGAATTGGAGTAATCCTAATCTTTGATTCATGACACATCATTCAACATTTAGTCATTCAACAAACATTTCTTGGACGTGACTTTAGACCTAGCTTTATGCTAGTATGGGGGCCCCCAGCACAGAGTAAAACAGGCTCAGTCTTTGAGAGAACTCATAGACCTCAGTGACAACTCCACAAATAAGTATAATCATAAAATGTGTAATTTCAGGACATGAGAACTGTGCTTGCCAAGAGCTTTTAAAGACATGGCTCCCCTTGGGAGGTAACTTCTGGGGAAGACTGAGGGCAGGCAAGCTGAGATTAACTAAGAGAAGGGGTGGAAAAATAGGGTCCCAGGAGAGATACCCCAGGAGTAAAGGATCTCAATGGAAGGGTGAAAGTGTCTAATGTATTTATCAAGTGCTAATACCCTGTGACAGGCCCTATGCTGGGAGACCAGGAGTTGATCCTGCAATCAGGCATGATCCCTGCTCTCAGGAGAGGAAGAGAGACTAAAGTGAGCAGATAAATAGATGAGTTCAGATTGGAGTGAGTACTATGAAAGAAATAAAAGGCAGAGAGATATAATAGATAATGTCTAGGGGGCCCTCTTACTTGAGACTAAGTTGTTGGGGTGAGTCTTTCTGATGAGGTGTCATTGAGGCTGAGGCTCAAAACATGAGGAATCAGCCATAGGAGAGCTGGAGAGAGTCCCAGGCAGAGACCAGCAAGTGCAAAGGCCCCGAGGCAGAATCTGGCTTGAAATGAAAAGCTCATGGAGCTGCATTTAGGGAGTGATCATAGTTGAGGTGAGAAGTTGGCATGGGCCAGACCTGGAAAAGCCTTAAAGGCATTGAAGACTTTGCATTTGTTCTAAGTGTGGCAGGCAGAGAGCATTGTGTGTGTGGAAGGGGGAGGGCATCTAAAAGCAGAGAGTGGCAGGTTGGATTTATAGCTTTAAAAATTCCCTCTGGCTTCTGGGTAGAAAAAGATGGAGCACAGCCAAATGTGGATACAGGAAGGAGGTTTCAGAAGATGCTGGCAGAGAGTCCCACAGCTGGGAGGCTCTGAGACTTGGCATTGCCATGATGGGGCAGGAGAGATGGGGCAGACGATCTGTCTGTGAAATGGATCAGAGAGATGAGTACATTTTAGTCTGATAGAAAAATAAGAAAGTTTCTGGTGGAGTAGCTCAAGTGGTAGATTGCCTACCTAGTAAGTGTGAAGATCTAATGTCAACCACCATAAAAAAAAAATCCCCTACTTTATAGCTGGGTTCCAGTGGCTCATACCTGTAATCCTAGCTGAAATCAGGAAGATCAAGGTTTGAGGACAGCCCAGGCAAATAGTTCTCAAGACCCTATCTCCAGAATACTCCAAACAGAAAGGGCTGGTGAAGAGGCTCAAGTAGTAGAGCACCTGCCTAGCAAGTGTGAAGCCCTGAGTTCAAACCCCAGTACTCCCCCCCCCCAAAAAAAAAGACAGGAAAAAAGAGGGAAGAGAAGGGCTGGGGTGTAGTTCAGTGGATTGCAAGGGTTTGGGTTCCATCTCTAGTGCTTAAAAAAAAAAAAAAAAAGAAGAAGAAAAGGGGAGAAGAGGAGAGAGGAAGGAGCAAGCACACATTAAGTTGTGATCTGAGCTGGGTGCCAGTGGCTCACCCCTATAATCCTAGCTACTCAGGAGGCAGAGATTAAGAGCATCGAGGTTCTAAGCCAGCCTAGGCATAGTTGCCCACGAGACTCTATCTCAAAAGAAAAAAAAAATTCACAAGAAAGGGCTGGTGGAGTGGTTCAAGGCGTAGGCCCTGAGTTCAAACCCCCCAAAAAGGAAAAAGGTAGTGATATGTGCTATGATCTGACATGAAAAGGGCTGGGGTGCTGATTTAGACCTGGGAAGGCCTCTCTAAAGAGGTGACATTTAAACAAAGCCCTACAGCGGAGCCTTGTGAAGATCTGAAGGAAGACTGTTCCAGCCAGAAAACAGCAGGTGCAAAGAGACAGGCATTTGCCCAGCACACTGGAAGGACAGAAGGAGGCCAATGGTGCTGGAAGGGACTGAAAGAGAGGGCAAAGTGGCCAGATTGTGTGAGACCTTGTATGCCGTGGGAAGGACTTTGGGCCCTACTCTGAGCAGGATGGGAGCTAGGGAATGGATGGTTGTGAGCCAAGAAGGGCTGTGAGTGAATGAGGCTTGAAAAAGAGCACACTGACTTATTCTTGACTCACCTTCTGGGCTGTGTGTGATCTGATCATTCATTTACTCATTTACTCAGCACACACTGAGTTCCTGCCACTGCCAGGTCCCTGTAGGGTGCTTGCTTTGCCACACAGAGCAACACTTACCAGAATCTAATAGGGGGAGGTAGAAGTAAATCTGAGCACCACTGTGGCAGGCCACAGGTTGGATACATCCTGCTTATACATTTTATATGGCCTGCAGGATATTGGGGAAATTAGAGTTTTCTTAAAAACTAGAACTTCTGGCTTTTTAATGTTTCTATTACTGTTTTGGTAGTATCCGAGTTTGAACTCAGGTCCTCACATTTGCTAGGCAGGTGTGTTACGGCTTGAGCCACGCCCTCAGCTTTTTCATGTTTTGTTTTTTGTTTAATTTCTCCCCCTCTGGAAATGTGGCCAAACCATATTCCCACTGTGAAGTACAATGAGGCTGGAGCTGTAGCACATTCTTGCGCACACGGAGTGGCAGGTGCTGGGTGCCCTATGCACTCTTGTTTCAAGGCATAGAGTTTGCTATCCTGTGGGGGTATTCTCCCATCTTCCAGTTTTTCCATTCACTGGCATTCAGACCTTTGTGTGAGTCCTGATTTTTGTTTTTTTTGTTTTTTTGTTTTACAATACTGGAGTTTGAATTCAGGGCCTACACCTTTGAGCCACTCCACCAACCCTTTTTTTATGAAGGGTTTTTTTCAAGATAGGGTCTCAAGAACTATTTTCCCCGGCTAGATTCGAACCTCAATCCTCCTGATCCCTGCTTCCTGAATAGCTAGGATTGAAGGTGTGAGCCACCAGTGCCTGGCAAGTACTGATTTTGAAGCCTCCTGGTCACACAGAAAATGCCAGTGGTTCATTATGGGCTGCATGCCACTAGTTTGATACCCTGCATTAGACGGAGGGTCTTAAAGGCACAGACCTAGACAGTGCCCCATTCAGGATGGACAGGGTGCTCGGTTTGCCTGGGGTGACCTTGGACCTCTTGCCACCCCAGCCTTCACCTTCTTCGATCCCAATGACCCTGCGTGCCAGGAGATTCTGTTTGACCCGCAGACCACCATCCCGGAGCTGTTTGCCATCGTTCGTCAGTGGGTGCCCCAAGTCCAACACAAGATAGACGTCATTGGCAATGAGGTGGGAACCCTGGGGGAACCAAGCACAGAGGGTGTGTGGTCCCCCACACGTCGGGTAACCCTCACCTGTCCCCTGGTACTCCCAGATCCTGCGTCGAGGTTGCCATGTGAACGATCGCGATGGTCTGACCGACATGACTCTGCTCCATTATGCGTGCAAGGCTGGGGCCCACGGAGTTGGTGAGGGCCCGAACCCCAAAACCTAGGCCCTCAGCCCCAACACCCCGAAACCCACCCAGAAATCGGGCGCTTAGGGCCTCCCATCCAGACCCTCGCCCGGCCTTCCCCACGCGTGTTCTGGGAGGGCTTCCGGGCTGACCCGGGCTGTGGTGTAGGGGACCCCGCGGCGGCCGTGCGCCTCTCGCAGCAGCTGCTGGCTCTGGGCGCCGATGTGACCCTGCGCAGCCGCTGGACCAACATGAACGCGCTGCATTATGCGGCCTATTTCGACGTGCCGGACCTTGTGCGTGTGCTGCTGAAGGGTGCGAGGCCCCGAGGTGAGGAGGAGAGCCCTGCCTGGTGGGGGATTTAAGGAGAGGGGGCGCACAGGATGGAGGGTGAGGACCGAGGCCTGCTGGGAGGGGAAAGGGGACCACACCTAGAGGGAGCAGGTGTCAGTGGACTGCAACCCCAGGGCGGGGCGGGAGGGGCGTGGTCTAAGGGGAGGGGCGGGGCACTACCTGGGGGCGGGGCTCTGTGGCAGAGGCCTGAGCCCTCTGGCTTGTTTCCAGTGGTGAACTCCACGTGCAGTGACTTCAACCACGGCTCAGCCCTGCACATTGCTGCCTCCAACCTGTGCCTGGGCGCTGCCAAATGTTTGCTGGAGCATGGCGCCAACCCAGCGCTGAGGGTACTGTCCCCTGGGCCCAGCCCCATTATCCTCTTCCTCCCTCTCTAAGCTCTATCCTTCAGTTACCTACTTACCTCCAGCGGGCCTCTGCAGAGGACAATGACCACTTGCATTTCTCAACTCCTAAAATGTCACAAAATCACTTGCACATTCAACCAATAATAGCTGATATTTACTTAGTGTTCATAGCATGGCAGGTAAAGTTGATTCCAAGTCCTGTTACACAATAGGGAAACTGAGGCAGAGAGCTGAAAGGATTTGCCCAGGGTCACCCAGCAAGGAATATCTTTTCTTTTGATCCTGGCTGACCCTGTAGCCATGTACAGACAATATTTGGAGATCATCAGGAAAGAAGAGTTAGGCCCTTGGTGAATTGAATTCTGGGTGTATAAGGCCTCAATATGATCTTTGTCCCTGCCCCTTCCATTACTAGGTCCCCTCCCCAGTACCATGACTCTGCAGTATCTCCAGTGCTGTCCTCTTAGGGGATATGGACAGTGCCCCTGAGCCCCTGCTTTCTCCTCATTCCTTATTGGCTCAGTTTGATTTCTGAGTCTCAGCACAGGAGCCAGTCCTATCCCGTACCATTGTAGGATTAGGTTTGGGGTCTCTGGAGGCACCTCCCTGAGGCGTAGCCCTCATTCTCAGTTGACTCTACCCCAGTCCCACTGTCGATTCCCTGATACATCCCAGCCCAAGGTCGAAGGAGTAATCTGCCCGTTAATGCCCCACGCTTCCTTATTCTCAAGTTGGCCCTGACTGGGGGGGTTGGAGGGGCAGGCAGGTTGGGGGGGGAGTGTGTCCTGCGCTACTGAACCCTTGCCCCTTCTCTTCCCACTGGCCTGTAGAATCGAAAGGGACAGGTGCCTGCCGAAGTGGTCCCAGATCCTATGGACATGTCCCTTGACAAGGCAGAGGCGGCACTGGTGGCCAAGGAGCTTCGAACACTGCTGGAGGAGGCTGTGCCACTGTCTTGCGCCCTCCCCAAGGTCACGCTACCCAACTATGACAACGTCCCTGGCAATCTCATGCTCAGTGCACTGGGCCTGCGCCTGGGAGACCGAGTGCTGCTGGATGGCCAGAAGGTCAGGGCTGGGCAGGGGTGGGGTGGGACTCAGCTCTGTCACCTCGGAGATGGGTCCACGGGCCAAGAACAGACTGTCCCTTTTGTCTGCCACCTCCCAGTCATTCACATGGTTAGGGCTTCTTTTGTGCCTCACCCTGTGCTGAGCTCTGAGGGGGACATGGACCCATCCCTGACACTGACTGACCACATCAGTCATGGCTGAAACACAGCAGATGATTAGCAAGCTCTGTGCCCCTGTGGCTTCCTCTAGGGTCTTGAGGTCACCAGTCACGCCCCATCTCCACTCTCAGAGTAGTCAGGAGTTTGACCAGAGTGTTCCAGGGTGTAATAGGGAGCATGCCCTTGAAGATGAGAAGTGACCAGGAAGAGGAATCACAGGAGTGGGGGAGGACAGAGAGACTTCATTCATCTAGGCCTTCCAGCTTTCTTTCACTTCCCAGGTGTTCCTCAGACTCCTTGCTGAGTCCTGGCTGAGTCCAGTCTGTCCTTAAGGACAGAGAGCCAGCTCTGCTGTAACCCAGCTCCACTGGTAATGAAGCACAGCTGTGGCTAAGGTCATTTCTGGTGGCAGCAAGGGCTGAGATAACCATTAAATGGCTGGATTTAGAAACTGTCCCCAGTGGGAGGCAGGAGTGGTCTTCTCAGGGGTGTTCTGGGAAGGCTTCTGTGAGGAGGTGATGTCCAAGCTGAGAAGGGAAGGAGCTCACTTTGCAAGGATAAGGAAATTGCAGCTGTGAAGATCCAGAGATGGGAAAAGACAGTGTGACTGGAGAGTTCTGGGGGAGTTGCAGAAAGGTCTGAAGGAACTAGTCAGAAGGCCACTGGAAGGAATTTGGATTTTTTTTTTTTTTTGGCAGTACTGAGGTTTGCTTGTTTGTTTGAAAGTAGCGTTCTACCTCTTGAGCCACACCCCAGCCCTTTTTGCTTGCTTTATTTATTTTTGGTGAAGCTGGGGTTTGAACTCATAGCTTTGCCCTTGCAAAGTAGAGTCTCTACTGCTTGAGCCACATCGCTAATCCATTTTGCTCTGGTTAGTTTGGAGATGGGGGGCTGGTCTTTCAAACTGTTTGCTCTGGCTGACTTTGAACCTGAATCCTCTTTATCAGCCTCCCAAGTAGCTAGGATTACAGGCATGATCCACTGGCATTCAGCTGTTGCTTTGGTTATTTTTCAGATAGGGTCTCTCATTTTTGTCTAAGCTTCTTGGGTGGCTGGGATTACAGAAATTCACCACACTGGCTTATGCTTTGAGATGGAGTCTTGCTAACTCTTTGCCTGAACTGGTCTTTAACTTGAATCTTCCTAGCTCTACCTCTGGAGTAGCTGGTATGATAGGAATGAACTACCACACCTGGCTTTTATTTCTTGTACAGAGAAAAGCCATACAAGTCACATTTTGTTTTTTAATCTGGAAAGATTTCCACACATGATCTAATCAAGCTCATTAGATAGTTTGGCAAGACTGGGTTCACTCTTCCCATATACCCCAGAAAACTGTGAACCCCTTTGTCAGAAGCCAAGTTCTCTTGGAGAAGCAGCGAATCACAGTGTTTACGAGCTCAGGCCTCAGGGGCTTGCTCAGGTACACGTGCCTTTGCTGCTTACCAGCGGTGGGTCCTGGGGCCAATGACTCCACCTCGTTTGGCCTCAGTTTCTCCACCTGCAGATGGACATAATGTAGTACCCAACTCATGGGATTGTGTGAGGCTTAATGAAAATGTTTAAGTCTTTCAGAACAGAGCCTGGTGTATGCTAAGTGCTCTTTGTGTGCTGGGCTTGGTTCCAGTCCCTGCATCAACCCTCCAAACTCAGCACTTGTTTATTTTTGTGGTGTTGGAGATTAAACCCAGGGCCTCATACATGCTAGGCAAGCACTCTACCACTGAGCTGCACCCCCAGCTTCAGTTAGTCCATTTCATAGGCAAGGAACTAAGAACTAGGGGTGCAGCTCAGTGGTAGAGCACTTGCCTAGCATTATGAGGCTCAGGTTCTGAGACATGGAGGTGAGATAGCCTCACATGAGGCTAACTTTCTGAGGAATCATGGTAGCCAAGCGTCTTTGCACATATTAAAAATGTCTGGGCACAGTGACATACACCTGTAATTCTAGCTACTTGGGAGGCAGAAATTAGGATGATCACAGTTCAAGGCAACCCTGGGCAAAAAGTTAGCAAGACCCCAATTCAACTAGTAAGCCAGGTATGGTGGTACAACCCTGTAGTCTCAGCTATGTGGAAGGCATAGGTAGGAGGATTGCTGTTTTAAGTTCAACCCTGAGAAAAAATGTAAGACCCTACCTGAAAAATAACTAAAGTTAAAAAAAAAAAAGGGCTGGGGGTGTGGCTCAGGTGGTAGAGCATCTGCCTAGCAATTGTGAGGCCCTGAGTCCATCCTATGGGGGTGGGTGGTTCTCCCTACATTCTAGATGAAACTGAAGCCCAGGAAGTCCCCTGACCTGACCAAGGTTACAGCATAACAGCCCACACTTGTTGCTGCCTGGCTCCATGGCAATTCTGTCCAACAGACAATTTCCATGGCAGAACGTCCTGGGCTCATGATGTCCAGTAAAGTAGCCACAAGCCACATGAGGCTATGGAGCACCTGAAATTTGGCTGGCACAACTGGGGAAGTGAACGTTTAAACTATCATCTGTGACCAGTGACTATGTACTGTGTTGGCAGGGCAGCTCTACAGTAATGGGGTGGATGTGATCTCTGTTTTCATTTCCCAGATAAGGAACTGAGGCATGGACAGGTTGAGTCGTATAACCAGTAAATGGTAATGTCAAGCTGAAATTTGAGCCCAGGGCTCCCGTATCCTGTGTCCCAGTGGTCCATCATAGTCTCCCAAGGCCCCCTCCCATGCCAGATCTTCCCTTGTCTCCCTAGACTGGCACCCTGCGGTTCTGCGGGACCACGGAGTTCGCCAGCGGCCAGTGGGTGGGCGTGGAGCTAGACGAACCTGAGGGCAAGAACGATGGCAGTGTTGGGGGCGTCCGGTACTTCATCTGTCCTCCCAAGCAGGGTCAGTCTCACCTGGGGCCTGGAAGGGTAGGGATGGGGGTTCACTTAGCTGTTCTGAGACCGCTGTCTGGGTAATGGGGTGGGAGATAAGGGTGCGGCCAGAGACAGAGGCTTGGACAACACCTAGCCCAGGATCTGCCCCCAGGTCTCTTTGCCTCTGTGTCCAAGATCTCCAAGGCAGTGGATGCACCCCCTTCGTCTGTCACCTCCACACCCCGGACTCCCCGGATGGACTTCTCCCGTGTCACTGGCAAAGGCCGAAGGGAGCACAAAGGTCAGAGGGCAGAGCCCGAGGGGTGGAAAGAGTCAGTCTCAGGGATATTGTGTGGGTAGCTTAGCTTCTGTGACTCGGTTTCTCCTCAGGCCTAAAGCCACCCTCCCTGTTCTCTGGCATCTAGGATTATTTCCCTTCAAACTCCACACACATCCCTTCAGTTCTGGAAAAGACACTGAAGTTCCTCTGATTGGAGCCACAGCAGGGTTTCTATCTTGGGAGCTTTCCAGATGCCGTAGGGTTCCCCAAAACTGGCATCTGGGGCCCCACCCCCTCACCTTCTTCCCCCAGGCAAGAAGAAGTCCCCATCATCCCCATCTCTGGGCAGCCTGCAGCAGAGGGAGGGGGCCAAGGCTGAAGTTGGAGACCAAGTCCTCGTGGCAGGCCAGAAGCAGGGGATTGTGCGCTTCTATGGGAAGACAGACTTTGCTCCAGGTAAGAATGGTGGACTCTGAGCCAGACGCCTGTGGCTTACACTAATAATCCTGGCTACTCAGGAGACAGAGATCGGAAGGATCGAGGTTGGAAGCCAGCCCAGGCAAATAGTCCAAGAGATCCTATCTCGAAAAAACCCTTCACAAAAAAGGGCTGGTGGAGTGGCTCTAAGGCACAGGACCTGAGTTGAAGCCCCAGTACCAAAAAAAAAAAAAAAAAAATGGTGGACTCTGGGCTGGAGCAGAAGGCTCTTGAGACATTCTGACAACCCCTGCTGCAGGTTACTGGTATGGCATTGAGCTGGACCAGCCCACTGGCAAGCACGATGGCTCTGTGTTCGGTGTCCGGTACTTCACCTGCCCCCCTCGGCATGGGGTCTTTGCACCAGCATCCCGCATCCAGAGGTGTGTCTAGCCGGGACCCTCAGCCCAGGGGGAACATGCAGAGCCTTGGCCCACCCTCACTAGACCACATGTGGTTGTCCCCTCAGCCTAGCTCCTTCCTCTAAGCCCCCTGGGGCTCAGCTCCCGACAGACCCTGACCTCTTGTGGCTCTGAATTCTCCCTGTGTCTCCCTAGGATTGGTGGATCCACTGATCCCCCTGGGGACAGTACCGGAGCCAAAAAAGTGCATCAAGTGACAAGTGAGTTTGGGGCTGGGAAGTGGGGAAGAATGTGGGTCTGAAGACAAGAGAAGGGTTCTCAGTGCTACAGAGTTTCTGACAGTTAATTGGGGACTCAGGACCAAGGAAAGTATGAGACAGGGTCCCAAAGAAGAAAGGGGCTTTGGGATATGAGGAAGTTAACAGCAAGGACCTGAGGACTGGGTTGTGGCCTCAGTGGTAGAGTACTTGCCTAGCATGTGTGAGGTCCTGGGTTCCATCCCCAGCACTACATAAAAAAGACAAACAAAAAACAAGGCTCCGATGGTTTTTTTTTTTTTTTTTTTTGGTACTGGAGTTTGAACTCAGGGCCTCATGCTTGCTAGGCAGGCAGTCTTATCATTTGAGGCACTCTGCCAGCCAAAAAAACAAGGTTCTGAGTAGGCACTGTAGTGTTGAGTGGGCTACTGGGGACACAGGTAGATAGGTATTGGGGGAGAGGGTGGGTATTACTGATAAGAGGTTCAGATGGATATTGGGAATGGGAGATCCAGGTTGGTCCCAGGGACATGGATAGCTGTTAATGACAGGGAGTCTAGGTGGATATCAAGGACACAGGTGGCTCTATCATCCCCTTACCTGACACCTTGCCCTCCTCTCCAGTGACGCAGCCCAAACGCACCTTCACGACAGTCCGGACCCCAAAGGACATCGCATCAGAGAACTCTATTTCCAGGTATATGGCCAGACGCTCTCCAGTGGGAGACTAGGGAGAGGCGTCCCCAAGGCCACTGGATGTGGGGATCTGCAGCTCTACTTGGGGCTGGAAGTAGAAGCTAAGAAAAGTTATGACTAAGGCCACCAAGAAACAGTTTTTAGAGTGTTGGGCTCCACGCTGACTTCAGGTGACTCCAGCTTTTAAGGGGCAGGCGAAGGAAGCTACAATCACCAGTGCCACACAAGCCTAAGATGGCACTGCCCTTAGGCAGAATCCCAGACATGAGGTGGAGGGATGATGATGATGATGATGATGATGGAGCGGCTGTCCCTGAACCCACTTCCCGGTTGTCCTTTCAGGTTGCTCTTCTGCTGCTGGTTTCCCTGGATGCTGAGGGCGGAGATGCAGTCTTAGAGGCCCTGGATCCCCACAGAGCCCCCTCTAGTGTCTCCTGACACAAGGAGCGCCTAGTCACCCCGAGATAGAGACTCCCAGTAACATCCAGAATATAGACCCCATTAGCCAGCCCTCTATCACTGAGGTCCCATTATTAACAGGTCCCCTGTAAAACCCCCCAAATGCAGACCCATGTGTCACCCAGAAAGAGATTCCCCGAGTAGCACCTTCAGGCTAGTCCCTGTCCCCACCCCCTCAGAGCAGACCCCCAGTTAACAGATTGCCATATCACTCAAATGAGGGTGACCCTGTCCACATGATGCTCTCAACAGGACATTTTGAGTCACTCATCAGTGCATCAGAAATCCGCCATTAACAAAGATCCCCTCCCTCCACTCTCCTTGAAATGAACACAGGTCACACCTCCAGAGTAACAGACCATGTGACTATTCCTTAAGATGTCGTGATCCCATGATCACCCCAAAGCCCTGACTCTAATCTCCCTATCAGAGACTCCCTCCATTAACAAATACCCCTGTTCTTACCCTTCAAGAGACCCACCTCAGTCAACCCACTGTCACCTCCAATTTACAGGCACCAAAATAGTCCTGGAAGTGCTAATTACAGGACCCTCAAGTCTTCCTATACTCTGAACCCTCAAGAAACCCCCAGTGCCTTGTATGAACAGCCCACCCCACATGGCCCACAGCCCCTGTGCTGGCCAGGCTCCCAGAAAATTCTCTATTTTTTAATGACTTCCCCCTTTGGGGGACCCCAAAATTTGGAGACCCCATTCTTAGACTCTGGAGATCCCAAACCCCAGAGTATACATGTCCCAAACTTCCCTGGGACCCAAGTCCTGTATCCCCTAGAAGACCCCAAGTTTCTAACTCCCAGGTCCCTCCCTGCAATCATGGAATTCCCAAATCCCAAGGGAATCCCAAATTTATAAATCCAATCCCAAACCCTCAGGAAAACCCAATCACGAGGTCCTTGTGCCTGGGATTGAGGAGGCTCGAGTCAGGATAAACATTCCAGGCTCCCAGGGCACCTCCAGCCCTATTCCCAATCACCAGGAGACCCCCAAACAGGAGTTCCCGTTTGGGAACAAACTAGAGAACTTCAATGCCTGGAGTCTGTGGATCTCAAGAACCCCAAATTCCAAGAGCCCCAGCCCTCCCCCCCCAAGGGAATCTCAAGTCCCAAAGCCTCCATCCCTAACAAGTGGAGGGCCCCAAGGCCCTGAGGGAATCCCGTCTTGGAGTCCCCGTTCAATCTACCTTCTGGACACAGTTCCGAGAGACTAAATCTGAGTCATTGGCCCCAAAGGACCTCACAGCACTTGGGCGAGACCAACAGCCTGAGGGAGAACCTAAAGGCCCCGTGGGTCCAGGGCGGACCTGGGGCCCTGACCACCAAGGACAGCTCACGACTGCCCCTTCACTGCATGTCCCCAAACTCAGCATGACCCCTGTCCTCTTCAATAAAGACGTTTCTATGGCCTCTCTGTGTCAGGTGACGGGGTGGAGAGGGGAGATACGGCCCTGCCACTTTGGGGAGGATGGGAAAGGAGGGCCTTTCTTCAGCCTCGTCTAACTGCGGCAAGGGCTTGACACGGCCCAGTCTGCGGGAAGTCCATTTTACAGTTCCCCGCTTCCCTTCCTGCGGCCACGGCGGCTGCGCCTTCCACAGGGGTCCACGCCTCCGTGTGGACGGGCTCTGTGCTGGAGTCCTGATTGGGCGGTGCAAGGCGAAGACCCCGCCCCAGTGGATCTTCAATGGCTCAGACACCAGGAGGCCCAGCCTATCCCTAAGAGAGTACGGAGGGGCGGGCGAATACTGGGTGAGAATTCCTATTGGCTGAAAGGCAGGCTCCAGTGTCTTCCACGAGTTCCTATTGGCTTCGGGACTCTTGCGTCAGTAAAATGGAGCGGAAGTGCCTGGCAAGGGGATGAGGCTGTTGAATCTGGACCCTGGCGGGGAGAAGGTGGACGGTCAGTTTGGGAGGTAGCTGAGTGCAGAGATGGGCGTCCATGAGGACTAAGAATGGAGTCCGGGGAAGCTCAGAGTAGGAGCACGGTGGGGCTCAGTGTGGCATTCCGAAAGACTCAGAGGGTTCAGCGAGGGAAGCAGGCTCAGGTCCAAGGGTGTTGGAGTAGAGGGGCGCTGGGCTCGGGAAGTCTGAGGGGTCCAGAGTGGGGAGATCCAAGGAGGCTGAGTGGACATGTCTGAAGAAGCTCAGGTTGGGGGCACAAGATCTGGAAGGGCTGAGGCCCGGGGAGGGTCCATGGAGCGTCTGAGAGCCGCGCTCAGGATTGCAGTCTGAAGTGGGTTCTCAAATTAAGGTGCTTAGGGGCCCTGGGGTGCAGCCCTGGGGGCTGCACGGGGAGCTTTTGCGAAAGGCTTCCTGTGGGTTAGAGGCTGGAGAGGGCAGTGTCGTTTGGCGGACCTCGGAGACAGGTTGGAGGAGCATGCTGGGTGTTCACTGTGTCGGGGCAAGGAGCCTGGGGGATCACTGTAGGCTTTCGAGATGCTGACGACTCAGGTTTTAGAGGCTGGGGTGAGGCTCTGACCCATGATGGGGCAGGGGGAAGGTTGGATCATAGAAGAAAAGGATGGGAGGTTAGCAACTTAAGTATGTCCTCTCCTCCCCACAGGACTGCACAGCAAGGAGTTGGTGTCAATGGAAGAGCAGAATGCCAGGGTCCCAGCCCTAGAACCATTCAGGGTGGAACAGGTTGTTAAGACTGGAGGTGCAAAAGATGAAGGGGAGCGGGGCTTGAGCGTGGGAGGTGGGTTGAGATAAGCAGGCTGACTCTTGGGTTGGCACTGCCCCCTTTCACCAAATTAATTTTTACCCTTGAAGTCCTCCTGCCTCACCTTGCCTCCACCTCAGAATGGTTCTCTTGACTTCAGAACCTGGCTTGTCTGAGGCTATCCTGAGCCACTTTCCAGAGGGAGACAGTGCTCAGTGATGGAAGCGCCCCTGTGTGGGTCCAAGGGCCACATCGTCAAGTTCAGTCTCTCATTGTAGGCACCACCTGTAATCTACTATGTCCCCGACTTCATCTCCAAGGAAGAGGAGGAGTATTTGCTTCGACAGGTGACCGCAATGGCCTTTTAGATTGTTTCCCCCTCTTCCTGTATTCCTCTGTGATCTCCAGCCCCTGTATGAGAGCTCCCCGGAGTTGGAGTGAAGATCCTGGCAAAAAGGAGGGTGCCACATAGCACCCACCCCTGCCCTCTCAGTTATACTGTCAGAAAGCTTTTTCTAGGAATCTCAGGGGACACCAAACATTCTTGGAAAGGAGGTAGTTTGTATGAGGCTCAGACTCTCCAGAGCTCATACTCCCTACATTGAGATAGCCCAATCCTAGCCCAGTTCCGATCCTTCAGAATGGAAAATGAAGAATTTAAGTGTTCAACTTTCCGTGCTGAGATAGCCCAAGAATCAGTGTTACAGAGTAAAATGGTTTTCTGTGCTAAGGAAAGACTCTTTGGAACAAGGTTACTGAGCCCAGACCACCTGTGTTGAGATGGCTAGTACATATTCTGTTCTTAAGGTTTCGGGACAGAAGAATTAACAACACTCAGTGCCAGCACTGGGATAGCTCTTTGCAGTCTAGTGCCTCAGTTACAGAACACGGCTCTTATCCCAAGGACAAGGTAGCTACAGAACCCAGTCTTATGTGCTGAAATTGCCCATTCCAGACCTTTGGATACTTGAAATTGAAAAATTATGTATTTTAGAATGTCTGGACTGAAATAGCACAGGCCAGCCCAAACCATGCTGAGGATAAAATTCTCAACCAGACTATAGATTTCTTAGGCTGAGATAGCCCGTTCTAGACCCCTGGGATCTTGGCAGTGGAGGATTTTCCAAGTATTTTTCTTGTTGTACCGAGATAACCCAGCTTGGCATATTCTCTCCAAGAGAGAATTTGTTCCTAATGCCAGCTTTAGGAACAAAGGGATTTGAAAACTCAGACTGTCCCCAGATAGCCCAAGAATCAAGAGAGTGTAGACTGTCCTCTGGGATTAGAGACCCCAGTCCTGCCTGAGCTCTGAGTAGATTCAGATCACCATTGCACAGCTATAGTTTCTTTTCTCAGTCCTTGTGGATGCAGGCAGGCTTCGGGACCCTTCCCAGGAAACAACAAAGTACTGGTAAAACACTACTCCTGAGGACAATCTATCAGACACTAAGATGACCCGATTCCACCCCAGGTGAAGGACCCTATGTTGCCTGGGTGGAGAATCACAGAGAGTGCTCCTAAAACCCCATCCCTACTTCTAGGTTTTCAATGCCCCAAAGCCAAAGTGGACCCAGCTCTCTGGGAGGAAGCTGCAGAACTGGGGTGAGTGTCCCTGGCTAGAGGCATGGGTGGTTCTAGGATGTGGGCTGGGCAGGAGACTCAGGTCCAGGACTTGCAAGACATGGTGGTGGGTGCTTAGGGCTCAAGGGGTCAGTGGAAGTTCTGAGGCATCAGGAATCCAGTGGTCTGGGAAAGTCTGAAAACCAGTGGCAATCTCCAAAGGGTGGAGGGAGTCCCTCAGAGGTTAATCCATTTCTTCCCGCTGAGCTATTTCTCATGGTGGCTCCAAGTGTTAGGGCTCCTTGGTTGGGTGTCCTGAGGACCCCATTGCACTCCCCAGGTGGGCTCCCCCACCCCCGGGGGATGGTCCCTGAGCGGCTGCCCCCATGGCTCCAGCGCTACGTGGACAAAGTATCTGACCTCGGCCTTTTTGGGGGTCTCCCAGCTAACCATGTCCTCGTGAACCAGTATCTGCCTGGGGAGGGCATCATGGTAACCACGCACCCTAACCCTGACCATCCCCCACAGAGCTCTGAATATCATGGGGCAGGGCACCATGTGTACCCAGCCTCTTGCACAGAGCAGCCACAACCCCCCCCAGCCCTTCACCTCCCCATCCCAGCTTGGGAGCCCTCTTTTGGCCCAGAGGATGTGGGGGAGGGTTGGACTCCTGCCTGCCCAGCCATGGTGCCCCTTCCCAGCCCCATGAGGATGGACCACTGTACTACCCAACTGTCAGCACCATCAGCCTGGGCTCCCACACCGTCCTGGACTTCTACGAACCACGGCAGCCAGAAGATGATGACCCTACAGAACAGGTGGGGCCCAAGATACTGCTCCAAGCCCTCCCAGGGTGCTCCAACACCCCACATCCTCAGGATGACCCAATCCCACCTGCTTTTGGTGTATTCCTGACACCCAGACACCTTCCTCTGTGCCACCACAGGGTACATTCACTTCCTCCCAGATACCCAGCTCATCTGCTCGCAGGGTTCCCAACCCACCATGATATCCACAACACCCCAACACCCCTATCTGTCAGTAGGGTCCCTGATGCCACACAGAAACCCTGACCTCACACATTCAGTGTTCCAAGAACCCAAGGTCCATTTATATGTCATATGGGGCTCCCCAATATTCCACACATATTTGATATTCTCAGGTACACCAGTGTTCTCTCATGGGTACCCTAACACCCTCCCAGATGGTCTGATTCTGCCCATGGCACAGGGTACCCTAACACTGATATCCTGCACTCCAGTCATGTGATCTGCAGATTCTCCTCACGTGACTCTACTCCCACCCCCCAGTCCACGCCCAGATGCCCTGACAGCACCATCTAACCTCTGTCTCTGAGGGGGTGTGTTACTGACACCCCCACACCTGACCTATACTGCTCTGCTTCCCCTTTACCCTACACACTCCTGGGTACTTCCATGGCCTCCTGCTGGTGTTCCCTAAACTCCTGATGTCCCTGGATGTGTCAGTTCCTCTGAGCCCAGCCTCACTTGTAGCACCCTCAGAAGGGCATCTACTTTGCCCCTGGGGATTTGCCGACACTTGTCCTCTGACCCCTGAAGCCTGCTGACTTTTCATCCACTCCTGACCTCTGGATACCCACTGACCATCCCTTCCCCTGCAGCCCCGGCCGCCAAGGCAGCCTACAACCTCACTTTTGCTGGAACCACGTAGCCTGCTGGTGCTGCGTGGCACAGCCTACACACGCCTTCTCCACGGTATTGCCCCTGCTCCCATGGACGCACTGGACTCCACCTCTCTGCCGTCCAATGCTGCTGCCTGCCGATCAGCACTGCCCGGGGCACACCTGGTGCGTGGCACCCGCATCTCCCTGACCATCCGCCGTGTGCCCCGCGTGCTGCGCACTGGCCTCTTGCTCGGCAAATGACCGCCAGGCCCCAGGTCCTCCTCTAATTGCTCATTGCTTGACTCCTGCCCCCTCAGGGCTGCTGAACCTGTGACCTTGGAACCCTTGGGCAGAGTGGCTCTCCTGGGTTTTTTCCCCAGTAACTGTGGGAACCATGGGAGATCTCATTCCAAATAAACCAAAACTAGCTTTCCTTGCTTTTAGATTTTTTTTTTTAAGGGGGGACAACAGCTTTGGTCCCTGCGGTGTTGCATTTGGGACCCTAAACGGATGACCCTGCACGGTTGCGTGACTGGTGGTCAGGGCAGGATCCAGGGGCCTTGGGACGGGTGGTGGGGGTTTTCTATCTCCAACTCCCTTGGTAGAAGGTGTGTGATGTTGGGAAGTTTATCTACCGTCCTGCCAGGGAGGAAGGAGTTAAGAGGCTCTGCTGTCACCTCAGCAGGGCATCAGATTACCTGGGTCCAGGTTCCTGGAGGAAGGGGTGGAGCCAGGCTCAACCGTGGGCCTCTCAGCTGCCACAGGCCTGGGTGAGTCCCACTGAGGAGGTCTAGGGGACACCACTGACTAGGAAAGAGGCTTACTGGGTGTCCTCACCTCTGTTCCCAGGCCTCCAGCTATGTCCCTGTCCTCACCTCTGGGCCCTAGACTTCCCTTTGAGCCCCTCAACCATCCCCCTGGAGCCCCTAGGGAGCAAGACTTTGCTGGATGCACCATCTGCCCTGTGTCTGGAGAGGAGACAATCAGGTGGGGGCTAGGGCTTTTGCAACTTGGTACCAAGGTGGGGGCAGGGGCCATTTGAGGCTAGGAGGTGCTGTGGCTATGATCATCTGGGAATAGAATTAGAGTAGAATGAAAAATGGGGCACAGTGGCTCATTCAGGGCCCTGTCAACATCTCTTACCTTTAGGCCAAAGCAGGCCCAGGTCACCTGGGACCCTCCTATGTACATCCAGGGTGGGCTGAGGGGCACGGAGCCTACCACCACCCCCCCAAGAACATCAATGCCCTCTTCTCATGAGGATTCAGCTGGGAGCAAACACCGTGAGGTGAGCTGGGGTGACCAGACTCCTTGTGCCAGCCTTACCTCCCCTCTGTCCCCATAATCTGGCCTCTGCCTGGGGACGAGGTGATAATTCTAGAAAGGTCTGGGGACCTGTGGGAACAGGGACACTCCGGAAAATGCATCTTTACCCATCAGTATAGAAGTATTGTAATATTTTAACCAAATAGGAAAAGAGTATTTCACCACTGGCCCTGGTGCAACTCACCTACCCCCTCCCTGTCCAGACCCCCAGGGTCCACATATCCAGTTTCCAGGAGGCTTGAAAACCTATAGACCTTGAACTAGATGTCCTCAGTCCCCAAGTAGAAGGTCCTCATTGGCCCTGATTCAGCCTTGTGTGTTCCCCAGCACCCCATCTCTGGCCTAGAGGTACTGGAGGCTGAGCAGGACAGCCTTCACCTTTGCCTGTTGGGACTGGGCCTCCGTCTGCAGGACCTGGAGCCAGGCCTTGGGCCCTGGACACTGGCCCAGAGTGGTATGGTCCAGCTGCAGGTGGGCAGTGGGAAGTCAGGATGTGGGAGTGTGGGCAGGAGTAGGTAGCACCTTGGTGGGGGGAGGGAAAGTGGGTTTATTACATGTTTCAGATTTTTGGATAGGAAATGGGGAAGAGGATAACTGCAGGTTCCGGGTCTCTGGGCTCCCTGGTGTGTGTGTTTGGGGGAGGGGTGTTTGACCATGTGTCCCAGGCCCTACAGGCAGAGCTTCGAGGGGCGGCTGAGCGTGTGGATGCACTGCTTGCATTTGGTGAGGGGTTGGCACAGCGGACTGAGCCCAGGGCATGGGCATCTCTGGAGCGGATCCTGAGGGCCCTTGGAGCCCACCGAGACGCCATCTTCCGACGGCTCTGGAAGTTGCAGGCCCAGCTGGTCAGCTACAGCCTGGTATGGCACGCCCTGGTGGTCCCCAGTCCAGATCCCAATCCCCAGCTCTCATGACCTCTGTCCTCTATCCCAGGTGTTCGAGAAGGTCAACGCATTGGACCAGGACTTGGAAGTTGATGGGAACTTGGATGGGTCAGGGCCTGGTGGGGCCTGGGGCCCCTGGGCAGCCACTAACCTCCCTACTCCTGCAGAGTTGGAGTGGGATCCAGCGGGGGATGTTGGGGGTTTTGGACCCTCAGGGCAAAAGACAGCCCAGACACCAGGGACTTCTTGTGAGCTTTGTGGCCACAGGGGCCCCCAGGGCAACGGACAAAGCCTTGAGGTGAGATCACTCCCCATTGCAGGTTATTCCATTTGACCAAGCACCCATAGGGCGCCTCTGTGTGTCTTGTAGCTCCATCCTTCCCTTTCGAGGAGGTCTCAATAGCTTTGTCTCTCTCTCTCTGTCTGTCTCTTGATGCCTTCAAGATTTCCTCCCTCCTCATGTCTCTGTTTCCCACCTTTCTGGCTGTCTCTATCTGCAACCTCAACTCCATTTCCTCTCATTCTGTAGCACCTTCTGTGCCACAGCCACACTCCCTGTACTTCTGCAGGCCAACTTCTATCTTGAAGCCCCCAGATACCCATCCAGCTCACCTCCTCATGTCATCTCTCCACAAATGTCATCTTTTCAGAGAGGCCTGCCCTGCCCCCTAACTGTGTTTTCTGATGTCACTGAACACAACTTGACATTACACATTTATTTGTTAAGTTCTGGCCTCACTGACTAAGGAATATTAAGTTCCACAGAGGCCAGGATTTTGCTTGTTTGCTTCTTCACTACATCCCCAGCTCCTACAGCCATGTCTGGCAGTAATAGATACTCATTAAATATTTGTTGAGTGAATGAAAAAGTAATGTCTCTCCCTTGGTTTCTTTGGCTCTGTCCCTCTGTCCTGTGAGATCCATTCCTCTAGAACCTCCTCCCTATGATACCCTTCTTCCAGCCCTTCCCCAGCTGTGTTACTTGCAAGAACTGCATGTCCCTCTTTCTCCACAGGACATGCTCACATTGGGCCTCAGCCACCGGAAACACTTAGCAAGTCACCGAAGACACTCTGTACTTCAGAAGCCTCAGGTGAGCTGGTCCTCATCAAGGTTGAGGACCTTGATGGCAAGTGACAGAAACCTGACTCAAACTGACCGACACAAAAAAAGGGATGCTTTTTCTTTTTCTCTTGTAACTAAAAAGTCCAGGGGGTACAGCTGAATTCCACACCTCAAATGTATCAGGGCTCAGTCCTTCCCTCCCTTGGGTTCTTCTTCCCCAAGTTGACTTCCTTCTCAGCTAAGTGACTGTCTCAGCTAAGTGGCTGCCTCAGCCACTGCACACATCCTTCCCATTGCTTACCCACCAGAGGAAGAGAGTGTCCAGGACCTGCTGGCAGGAGCCAAAGGCCCAGGGCTGACTCCACCTGCCTGGCTTGGGTCATGGGCCACACCCTGAATCAATCAGAGTGTTCGTATTGGTTAGGCCTGGGTCACATGCCACATGATGGAAGGGGAGTTGGGGCGGGGGGAGGGATCAGCTTCATCTGAACCTGTAGGTCTGAGAATGGGGAGCTGTGGCTACTGCCCTCCTCCAGCCAATTGAGCCACTATTTCCAGGAAGAAAAGGGATGGGAGTGTGTGGAATATAGACACAGACAGACATCCACCAAGCTTGGAGATAGTCCGAGTCCCTGTGGGGTTTTATGGTGCCAGAAGAGGAGGAGGAGGAGGAATGAGACTAACCCTGTAGGTCTATAGGACCACACTGAGTGTCCCTTCCATCCATCATTCTGCTGTGGGCTGCTGTCTCCCCTCAGGACGAGAAGAGGCAAGCACCTCCCAGCCTCCAGGACGTGACGTTGGAGGCGGCCCCTGGGTGAGATGCTCGGAGGATATGTCTGGGGGGTAGGAGACAGCGCTCATGGTAGCAGCCCACCCTTAAGTGTAACACCGAATTTCCTTCTCAGGGTCCCTGCTCCTGCCACCAGGAGGCCCCTAACCTTCCTCCTTCTCTTCTTCCTCTTCTTTCTGGTGGGTGCCACGCTGCTCCTCCTTCTGTCAGGGGGCCCCTGCTGCTCTCACACCCGACTAGCCAGGACTCCCTATCTGGTGCTCAGCTATGTCAATGGTCTCCCCCCAATCTGAGAACCCAGCCCGGACGTGTGTAATAAACTGTCACTGTAAAAGGATGTGTGAGGATATTGAGTGTGTAAACACCCAGAACTCAGGCTACAGCTTCTACCCCTTTGCCTTGAGCTCAGAATGGGATAAACCCATTTTGGGCTGGGTTACTGCAAACCCAGACACAAAAGTTCAAGCACAGGTGGTGGATTTGGGAGGTGATCCTAGGAGTGATTAGTAGGTGATGAGTATGTGAGTCAGGGAATGAGAAAGCCAACACTAGCTGAGTTAATAAGCTGCTTGCTACTCCAGGTACCTGGGGTGCCTCCCCACTGGGGACTGCTGGAAATTGTGTAGAACAGACTCCAAGTCATTCCACCCAGGAGGTGAAGAAGTGTGGCATTCATACACAGTTTCATCTCTACCTGGAGATGTGGACTCCCCAGCACTTCCTACCTGCGCCTCCCATAAAGGCCCCTCCCTCAGGCAAAGAAGCACAGGTGCTAGCAGCAGGAAGCCAGACAGGTGCAGGTGGGAGAAAGGAGCAGGTGCTATGGGTCAGCAACCATACAAGAGCTCTATTCCAGTATTCTTCCTGGGGCTCCCTAGCTGGGCTGTCACTAAGCCATGACTGTGAGGCCCCTTTCCTAAGGTCTTGACAACACTAGGCTGAATTGCCAGGATTCAGTCCTGGAGTTCAGGAGTTTGGCCCATACCTCAAACTTAACACAGATCTTTTCTCCTTGAATTCTCACTACCATCCAGTTATGTGGCTATGCTGCAACAGGCACAAAGGGGCCACACATGGAGCAAGGGACTGAGCCTAACCCTCACTGCCTTTAAACAGAAATAAGTGTTTTATTTTTGCAGGTAACCAAGAATTTAGGACTTCAGGCACAGCTAGATCCAGGGCCTGAAATGATTTCTACATCTCTCAGTTCCTCCCTCTGTTTGACTTCACTGTTATCCTGGTGGTGGCCAGAGTGCCCATCAAAACCTCCAGGCAGTCAGGTGTGGTGGTGCATGCTCTAATCCCAGCATTCTAGAGGCAGAGGCAGGAAGATTGGGAGTTTAAGGCCAGCCTGAGTTACACAGTGAGACCCTATCAAAAAAGAACAAAAGAAAGAGGAAGGGGGCTGGTGAAGGGGTCAAGTGGTAGAGGGCCTCCCTAGCAAGTCTGAGGCCCTGATTTCAAACCCCAGTACTGCCAAAAAAAAAAAAAAAAAGGAAAGAAGGAAGGAGGGAGGGAGGGAAGGAAGGAGGGAGGGAAGGAAGGAGGGAGGGAAAGAAGGGAGGGAAGAAAGGGAAGGAGGGAGGACAAAAGGAAGGAAGGAAGGAAGGAAATATTCTAATACCTGTGATTTCCAATAGGGTGGAGATGAGATCTGTAAAGATACCAGATGTTATTTGTTATAAAGGCCAAAAAAATGCAGAAATTTTATTCAATTATAAAATTCGTGAAGAACTAGCTATGCATGAGGTTCTTTTTTTTTTTGTGTTTGAGACAGGGTCTCCCTATGTAGCCCAGGCTGGCCTGGAACTCACCATCCTCCTGTCTCTGCCTCCTGAGTGCTGAGATTACAGTCATGCTACCTGGCTTCTGAATGAGTTTATAAAGTCTCAGAAAATATAGGCTTCATTTTTATAGCAAGGTGCCATGTGTGAAAATAACCAGTGTTTAAAGACAAGGGTGACCAGTGAGACACTGATACAGGTTGATTATCCCTAATCTGAAAACCCAAAATTCTGTTTGACAGAGGTGGCCCACGCCTGTAATCCACCTAGCTACTCAGAAGAAAGACATCAGGAAGACTGCGGTTCAAAGCTGGCCTGGGAAAATGGTTCGTGAGACCCTATCTCAAAAAAAAAAATCACAAAAAAATGGCTGGTGGAGTAGCTCAAGGTGTAGGCCCTGAGTTCAAGCTCCAGTACCTAAAAAAAAAAAAGCCAACAACAAAACAACAAAATTCTCCCAAACCTGGAACTTTTTGAGCATGTAACACGATGCCACAATTGGAAAATTCCACATTACAAAACTGTTTCATATACCAATTTTTACTCATTTTTGAGACAGGGTCTTGCTGTGTTGCCCAGGCTGGTCTCAAACTCCTGGGCTCAAAAGTGACCCTCCTGAGTGGCTGGGATTACACTCAGCTCAGGATTATTAAAAGTATTGTATTAGGTATATGTGAAACATAAATGGATTTCATAGTAGACTTGGGTTCCATCCTGGAAATGTCTTATTATGTACATACAAATGTTCCAAAATCCAAAACATTTTTACCCCAAGCATTTCTGGTAAGGATACTCAATCTATATAGTCACTGACTTTTTTGGTTTTTCATTTTTATAACATTTTTTTTGTGTGTGTGTGTGTGGCTTGAATTCAGGGCAAAAGCAGGTGCTCTACCACTTGTACCACTCAGCAAGCCCTTTTTTTTTTTTTATTGGGTATTAGCTTGGGCTGGCTTCGAACAGCGATCCTCTTGATCTCTGCTTCCTGGCTATAATGTGTTTTGCCTCAAATTACTCAAAACTTTTTTCCCTTCTTTTTGCAGTGCTGGGATTTGCTGGATCTCACACAAGCTAGGCAAGCATTTTACCATTGAGCCACTTTTCAGCCCCAAATTACTGAAAATGTTTAAGGCTATTGTAACAAATTTCTTACCCCTATATGCCAGACCCACCGGTTAACATTTTGCTCTATCTGTATTGGTGCACTTACAGTATGCACTTACGTTTTGGAGTCATTTGAGAATAGGTTGCCTTTTTAACTCCTAAATATTTAAATGTGTATTTGTTTTGTTTTGGAGATCCTAGAGATTGAACTCAGGACCTCACCCTTGCTAGACAGTGGTTTACTACTTGAGCCACCACCCCAGCTCTTTTTGCTTTTGTTTGTTTTTCAGGTGAGGTTTCATACTTTTGCTTGGGCTGCTCTCAGACAGTGATCCTTCTACCTATACCTCCCAAGAAGCTGGGATTACACTCAATATGTACATGTTAAGAACAAAGGTGGGCTGGGGAGTGTAGCTCAGTTGTAGAGCACTTACAAGGATGAGGTCCTGAGTTCAATCCCCAGCACCAAAAAACAAACCCACAAGAGCATTCTGTTCTCTAATTAGAATACAGTTATTAAAATCAGAAACTGAACAAGTCAATTCAATCTATTATTAACCCACAGTCCATATTCCTAACTACTGTAATCTGTGCTTTTTATAGCAACTTCCTTACTTAATAGATGGAGATTATTATTACTTAATAGATGGGACTGAGGCTGAAAAATGTTGACTGTGGACCTCAACAGAGTAAAAGAACAGAGCAGCACACAAATGCAGTACAACTGAGTCCTGCCACTGTTCCCATACTTCACAGAAGTGTATGCTGGCCTCGGACCTGAGGGTTTATTTGGGAGGTGAGTCCAGGAAGCAGGTTGGGAGGAAAGCTAATAGAAACCTGCAGAACATGTATTTCGCTCGTTCCACCAGACAAGAGGCTGGCCTGGACACTCACCCAGTGACTGCTGTCATCCACAGGTTGCCTTCTAGGGCATTAACCCTCTCCCCTTAACTCCCAGAAAGCTCTGCAATAGGGGAGCAGAGGCAGGGGCAGGGCAGGAAGCTGGTAGCCTCCTGGGAACACACTTTTTTCTCCTGTGGTACTGAGGATTGAACTCAGGGCCTGGTGCTTGCCAGGCAAATGCTCTACCACTTGACCTATGCCCCCAGACTGGGAACTTACTTCTGCAGTTGCAATTGAGCTCCTGCAGGCTGGGGGTCATGGGGAGCAGGCAAGATCATCTGTGGCTGCGACAGCATATAGCTAATTCACTGGGTCATTGATAACAGTCACGTGACAGAGGCACTAAGCCTCTATTTCACTAACAAGGACACTGAGGCACATGCTTGTGTAATCACTAAATGCTGGGGCTGGGATTAAAAGTTGGTATTCCAGTTCTTGAATCCATTGGCCTAACTACCACTAGCCTGCGTTTCCCCCCTCCCCATCCTTCCAGCCCGGCAAACCTCATTTCCCTATAGGTGTTGTGTGCCCTCCTCCATGCCCAGTGGCTCCTCCTTGCCCAACCTGTGCAGGAACTCTTCACTGCCCACGGGCCTGTGAAAGTCCCAATCATGGGGCCAGGAGTGAGGAAGAGGTAGAAGAGTGGAAGGTGAGACTGGGAGACATACTGGAGGCTGAATGTGTAGGACTCCATTAGCCACTTTCAGGACTTTTTGGCTTTTACCCTGAGATTGAGGCAGGACATGGGGCTCAATGCTAGGCCCTTGCCTAGCAGGTGCAAGGCCCTAGATTGAATCCCTAGCACTGGAAACATGAACAAATCAGGGTCACACTGATGAACAAAACTGAGGCTGAGAGATGAACAAAACTGAGGCTGAGAGATGAACAAGTGGCCAAAGTCCCATGGTGAGGACTAACAGGAGACAAAGCTGAGAAGATGCCACATGCAAGGAGTGCCACAGTCTTGTGCTCTGGGACACTCCAGACCCTGCCTGAAACCCTGCATTCCTTCTGTTTATACTCACTAGGCCTTTACCCACATTGGTCCTCCTGCTTAGAATCCTATTCTTGCTGGGTGTGTTGGAGAACACCTGTAATCCCAGTACTCAGGAGGCTGAGGGAGTAGGATTGCTAGTTGAAGGTCAGTCTGGGCTACACAGTGAGACCCTGTCTCAGAAAAACAGAGGTGTGGGCTCCTTTCCTAAGGACTTCTTTACCCCGGCTGCATCTGCAAGAATTCACCCACTTAACTTACTTAACTGACATGGGTGCAAATACACCTTATGGTTGCAAAATGCAGTACCCTTAGAACAGGTCTGTATGAGGACACAGAGTGGGTATAACTATGGTCAGTGAGTCCATCTCCCACCCCTGCTTCAGGGCCTCGCTGACAAAATCCCAATCTGTAGCTGGGGCTAGTTTGAGGAAGATGGCAGTTTCCAGGCCTTGTGAAACACTGAAGAGTTTGAGATCCCACTGTTGCCAGAGGGGTTACCACCAGGCCTCTTAGCTCTACCATTTCCTCTCCTGCCTCGTTCTTCGTCAACTGGGGTCTCTGGGTAAAGCTAGGATGGGTCTCCTTCATAGGTCTGCCCAAGAGAAGGCTCCAGAGGGAAAGAGCTTCCCACATCCATCCCCACCTAGAGGGCCACTTCCTGGTGTGTGTCTTCAAAAATCCCTTCAGTGCAGTCAGGCATGGGTCGCTCATGTCTGTAATCCTAGCTATGCAGGAGACAGAGATCAGGAGGATCGTGGTTCAAAGCCAGTCCTGGGGAAATAGTTTTCGAGACCCTATCTCAAAAAAATCCATCACAAAAAAAAAGGGCTGGCAGAGTGGCTCAAGTGATGAGTGCCTGCCCAGCAAGTGTGAGGCCCTGAGTTCAAGCCCCAGTGCTGAAAAAAAAAAAGGGGATAATCCCCCTAACAGCACACCTGTAATCCCAGTTACTCAAGAGGGGTTGGTAGGAGGATCATGATCCCAGGTCAGCACAGGGAAAGTTAGTGAGAGAGCCTATCTGTAAAACTAAAAACAAAGGAGTAGGAGCTGGCTAAAGCAATCGTGTGGAACACAAAAAAACAAAAACAAAAAACCCTTAATACATGAACTCTTCAAGACCAACAGGGAAGTAAGCACACCCAGAAATTTAATCCTTTTGTGCAACAGTCCTGAGAGGGAATGGGCACAGGAGTGGGGACTGCCCCCTTAGAACCATCCCGTAGGGATTCTTGAGGCGTCAGGTTGATCAGCTGGGGTCACAGACCTTTAACTCCTCATTGTCCTGGTTTGTCACAAAGACTGGGGGAAGTTTTCCAAAGGGGATTCTGGGCTTGTCATAGTTCATCAGGGCATAATCCCAAACTCTACTCGGCAAAAAGTCTGCTCTTCTCGGAGTTAAACAGGGCAAAGAGCAGTCCCCTTAAGGAGCCAGAGTTGGGTGTGTTCCCAGAGGTCAAGGGTCTCAGCCTCTATGAGTCCGTAAGGGGAGTGAGGCGCGTCTGGGATGCCCTTGACTTTGGGTAAGTAGATCTCAGCCTGCCTGTGTCCCAGGTCGCACCATACCTCTTGGTGGCGGGACGTGCGGGGGAAGGTCATCTGACCTGTCACCATGCTCCACCACCGGGCTCTCCAGGCCCACCAAGAGGGCTATGTCCCCAGTGCGCGCAGCTGGGCTCTCAACACCTCTCGCCTTCTATGAGATGGGTTCCCGGTCTTTCCCAAACTGTCAGGCGGGATCGATCCCCTGCGCTCTTCTGCCTGTCACCGTTCGTCGGCTCGGGTCTCCGGTGCCTCTGTGCGGTCGTGAGGGTTCCCTGGACCGTGACCGTCGTCAGGTGGGGTCCTCGGAGCCCCGGCGTCGCCCACCTCCTCGATAGGGCTCCGCGGGCGCACGAAGGCACCCATGGAGGTGGCGTGGCCAGAGCGCAGCAGCTGCAGCTGGCGGCGTCCGCGACGGTACAGGTACTCAATGCGCAGCACGTCGGAGCGCGGGAGGATGGCGTGTTGCCGGAACTCGGCCCGCACCCGCGCCTCGGCGCCCGGTTTCCCGCGTCCGGCGCGAAGCAGATCGCGGTACAGGCTCAGAATCTGCTTCTGTAGCCGACTATGCCGGCTCATGGCCGCCAGGCCGCAGGTTGACGCCGCAAACGCTCCACGCCGCACAGTTAAGGGAAGTCAACGTGCGGGGCAACAGCCACTTCCGGCCCAAGCTCGGCCTCCCTTCTCCCGCTATACGGTGACGCCTCATCTGATTGGCTGTTGCTGCAGTGACGTCAGCGGCCGGGAGGAAGGGGCGGGGTTACCGGTGCTTTGACCAACCTTAAAGGGAATCTGTGTCCTTGAGCGGGCTGTTGGTTCTGGGGACGTAGGTACCCGGGTCCCGGGGAGAGGGACTAGGCATTTGGACTCCTAGGTCCTGGATCGGAGGGACAGGAGGTCTCTAAATCCTGGGAGAAGAGGGAGGCTAGGAATTGGTTTTTTTTTTTTTTTTTTTTTTTTTTAGTAAAAGAGAACAGCGTCTCGCTAAGTGGCCCAGTGTGATCCGGAGCTCGTGGGCTGAAGGGTCCTCCTGCATCAGCCTCCCAAGTATCGCCCAGCTACAATCATGTTTTTGTCATAAGTTATTAAAGTCACTTCGGGAAGCTCCGCGCGTTTCCTCTGCCAGGACAGGTCTGCCTTCCGGGTCCCGGCCCTGGGGACGCGCAGAGGGACTGGGTCATGAAGTGAAATGGCCGGTTAGACTTGCTTTTCTGTGCTGGCGAAGTCAAGCACACAGGGTGGGAGCGCCAAGCCCCCAAGGGCAGCGCGTGGCTCGGCGCCCTGTACTGGTAGCAGTCAGGTCCTGGGGCAGCAGCGGGAGAGTCACAGCAGTTAAAGCGGTGTCCCACAGGCCCTAAGCACGTGGACTGCATTGACACCCATCCTTTAGGCCTCCCGGGAGCATCAGGTCATCGGCAGCAGTTCTGTAGTCCCCGCAGGCTGCCCGAAGGTCTTCTAGTAGCGCTGTGGAGGAATAAAGGGTAAATCAAGTATGGCACATTTCATAATAAACATTTTTCTAGGGCCAGGGATGTAGCTCAGTGGTAGAGTACGAATGTACAAGGCCCTGGGTTCCATCCTTAACACCACAAAATAAAATAATAATAATAATAAAAGCTTTCCTAAAAGGGAGATTTAGAGAAAAAAAATCGCCTGGAACCTGACTCATACCTTTCTCTCTCTCTCTCTCTCTCCCCTCTCTCTTCATGGTCTAATAATTGTTTGCCTAGCACTTCCAATATGCCAGACACAATTTCACATGCTTTAATGTGAATTTAATGTGAATTTTTATTATTTCATATTTTATAATGGGTAGTATATTAATACAGTAAAATATGCAATTGATAATTTACCTTTAAAAAAAACCAGTTTCTCATGTAGCCCAGGCTGGCACCAAACTCGAGATCCTCTTGCTTTGGCCTCCCCAGTGATGGAGACACAAGTGTGTGCCATGATACCCAGCTGATATTTTAATTGACTGCTACCTATTTATGTTATTTTATGTAATGTGTCTATTTTAAATAGTGATTGTTTCAAGACTCTTCTTATCTAGGACTGCCACTCTGCTTTTCATTGTTGAAAACCTCTTCTGAGAGCTCTGATGGTCTCAGTGCTGTCCACTCTGGCAATGGGGGCGGATGCAGGGGCAGATGTGTCTGCTCTACTGACTTGTTCCTCTTGGTATGGCCATCTCTCCATTCCCAAGGTCACTCTGGGGTTTAGATATCCATGTTCTTCCTATCAAGTGGCACTTTATCTCCAAGACAACTATGTCACGTGGTGGGAAAGTCTTTATTAGGATTTAGGAGACTGCAAAACCTTAAAGGCATACTATTTCCCTGTCCATTCATCTTTTTTTTTTAATTTATTCCAGTACTGAGGACTGAACTCCTGGCCTTGTACTTGCTGGGCCAGCTCCCTACCATTTAGCCATGCCCCCATTTTCCATGTTATTTATTGATTTATTTTTTGTGGGACTGGGGTCTGAACTCAGGGCTTCCCACTTGCTAAGTAGGCGCTCTACCACTTGAGCCACACCTCCAGTCCATTTTGCTCTGGTTATTTTGGAGCTGGGGTCTTATGAAGTATTTGCCGAGGCTGCCCTTAAACCAAGATCCTCCTGACCATCAGCCTCCCAAGTACCTAGGATTACAGACATGAGTCATCAATGCCCACAAGTGTTATTTATTTTTTAGATAGGGTCTTGAGTTTTTGCCCAGGCTGAGAAGGTCTCGAACCTTGATCCTCCTGATCTCCACCTCTGAGAATCTGGGCTCACAGAAGTGAGCCACCTTCCTTCCTTTTCAATATTAGGATTGAATCCAGGGCCTTGTACCCTAAGCACTCTCCCACTTCACCCTCAGCCCTCCATAGTGTTTTCTGATAATGGCTTCTGGTTTTCCCTTGGGAATTTAGCCCTGCTCTCAGTCCAAGGGGTTGCCTAGGTGATGTACCTATTCCTTGGCTCCTTCTCTAGGCATAGGTCAACCAGAGGTACCCTATTCTCTGGTCCCTGTGATCCTTTCAGGATAAGCAGATGGCCTGCACTGGGAAAATGACGATCATCTCTGGGACTTCTGCTAAAATTATGGAGAAAAAGTGCTGCCTTGGGCTGGGGATGTGGCCCAAGTGATAGAGCACCTGCCTGGTAAGTGTAAAGCCCTGAATTCAAACCCTAGTATTAGCAAAAAAAAAAAAAAAAAATGCTAGCTTCCTACCAGGATTGCTAAATGTTCATGGTGAGTCTGGAGGGGTGGGCTGCCTCTGCCCTACAGAGTTGGTTTGAGAATGAAGCTACCACTGTCCTCAAAGGAGACTATGAAACTTCCCTGGCATTAGAATTTTTAGCTGCATGTATGGCCACCACATAAAGATCCAAAGGAATAAAAAAAAAAAAAAGAAAAACTAAAGATCCAAAGATCCATCTTATAGGTTCTTTGCAACCAGATGGCATCAGCCCTTTCATGAAATTTTGACTCATGGGAAGTGAATGGAAGTGGTGTGTGCCACTTCTGGATTGTGCCCTTAAGGGAAAGAAGCCTGACCTCCTTTTTTTTTTTTTTTTTTTCCTTCTTTTTTTAATGGTACTGGGGTTTGAACTCAGGGCCTTCACCTTGAGCCACTCCACCAGCCCTGTTTTTGTGAAGGGTTTTTTGAGATAGGGTCTCTAGGAATGATTTGCCTGGGTTGGCTTTGAAACTTGATCCTCCTGATCTCTGGCTCCTGAATAGCTAGGATTACAGGCGTGAGCCACCAGCACCTCTGGCTAAGGCCTGACCTCCTTGTCATCCCTTCCACCTTGCTTGGGTATAGATGTGGTGGGGACAAGACGGGGATGTGGTGGGGATACCACTTGGGAGGCCTGTCTCAGAGAAACTAAACTGGGTATGCTTGGATTGCTCATGAGACAGAAATAAACTTCCATCCTTTAAGGCATGTAAAATTTGAGCCTCTGTTACAGTATTTGGAGCAAGAGACTATAACATAGAAGTCAACACAGAAAAAGGAAAAGACAAGGATGAAAGATGGAAAGAAACTAAGTCCTAGTGATGACATTTGAGTCCCTGAATCCAGCTATTCCTGAAGGTCCCTACTTTACAGGTGAGTAAAAGTAGATAAATTCCATTTGGGAGCTTCATTGTAGAGCTCAGTAGTAGGGCACCTGCCTACCCTGTGTGAGGCCCTGGTTCAATCCCCAGCATGGCAAAAGCAAAAGAAAAGCATTTGTTTTGGACAAATTGTGTTGTGTATTCAAAACAGTTGAGTAATTGGGCGCCAGTGGCTCACACCTATAATCCTGGTACTCAGGAGGCAGAGATCAGGAGGGTTGCAGTTCGAAGTCAGCCCAGGCAAATAGTTTGAGAGACACTGTCTGGAAAAAAAACAGGAAAAAGGGGGCTGGTGGAGTGGCTCAAGGTGTAGACCCTGAGTTCAAGTCCCAGTACTGCCAAAACAAAAAAGTGGTTGACTTCATTTTCTTTCATTTACAGCCCAAAATGCTGACTGATAGTTATGGATTGGGGAAAAATCTTGTGATAAGGTATGAGAGACTTCTCCTCCCACAGAGGAGACTCCTGTGACAGGGATGTAATATCCATTGTAGAAGCAGCCAGAGGTCCTGAGACACAGTGTGTACCATCAGAGGTGTGGCCAGGGTCACATGCACTATGCGTAGAGTGAGCAGGCAGGCATCATCGCCATCCATGTTCATGTACAGATGTGGTGGTGATTTCAGAGTGGGCAGGTCAGTGCTGCAGGCAGATGCAAAGGTGAATGCTTAGAACTCAGTCTTCCCTTTCCAGTGCCATTGCCTTCTGTCCCAGCCAGGCTAGCTTCCCACCTTCATGTGAGCCTTTCCAATCCAATTTCCCTTGGAAATTCTCCTCAACCAGTTCCACCTGTGCCAGGGGCTCTTCCCCCATTAGTGGAGGCAGTTCTTCCTGCCAGTCCATAACCTACCCTGGATGCATCCCAGACCCAGCCAGAGCACTCACAGTAAAGCTTAGCATATCACCAGGATCCCAGCCCTCTGGCTGGTTGGGGAAGTTGCTGAGATTGTGAGGTTGCTTGTTTTGCAGCATTAGCTGACTGATACACTTCAGCAGTGAGGATTAAATGAGATGATACATGAAAAGTGCTCACAGCTACTTACTGAAAGAATCCTGAATGACTGATTTTCCACAATCCTTTACAGTACATGATAATGTGAATGCTAATAGCTGCTCTTTACCCATCAAGGATGCTTCTACCTTATCATATAGTTGCATCATTTTATAAACCATGTGATGCAGACCATGCCCATTTTACATACAGGGTGTACCGAGGCACTGCCTGGTGGTAGTACAGGGGGTACTTACTGTGATGAGGCCACCAGCTGTAGTAGGTGCCCAGTGAGGCCGAGGCGCAGAATGACTGGTCTAGACACTCACGTCTTCACTGAGGCTGCACCTGCGCCCGCTGCCCGCCCCCATCCCAGCGCAGCAGCTTCGCAAGTCAGGTCCAGGTGGCGCAGATGGCGCCCGGCGGTCTGTGTCCGCTGGAGCGCTCCAGCAGCCACGCTCGCCATTGAGCATGAAGCCCTGGTCACACTCTCAGGCTTTCCAGCGGTGGCCGCCACCCACACCG